AGCCTAGCTGACTTGGTTGATGCATGTCATCGGGTGGTCAGGCTCGCTGACTTGGTTGATGCATGTCATCGGGTGGTCAGGCTCGCTGACTTGGTTGATGCATGTCATCGTGTGGTCAGGCTCGCTGACTTGGTTGATGCATGTCATCGGGTGGTCAGCCTAGCTGACTTGGTTGATGCATGTCATCTGGTGGTCAGGCTCGCTGACTTGGTTGATGCATGTCATCGGGTGGTCAGGCTCGCTGACTTGGTTGATGCATGTCATCGGGTGGTCAGGCTCGCTGACTTGGTTGATGCATGTCATCGGGTGGTCAGGCTCGCTGACTTGGTTGATGCATGTCATCGGGTTGTCAGGCTCGCTGACTTGGTTGATGCATGTCATCGTGTGGTCAGGCTCGCTGACTTGGTTGATGCATGTCATCGGGTGGTCAGCCTAGCTGACTTGGTTGATGCATGTCATCGGGTGGTCAGGCTCGCTGACTTGGTTGATGCATGTCATCGGGTGGTCAGGCTCGCTGACTTGGTTGATGCATGTCATCGTGTGGTCAGGCTCGCTGACTTGGTTGATGCATGTCATCGGGTGGTCAGCCTAGCTGACTTGGTTGATGCATGTCATCGGGTGGTCAGGCTCGCTGACTTGGTTGATGCATGTCATCGGGTGGTCAGGCTCGCTGACTTGGTTGATGCATGTCATCAGGTGGTCAGGCTCGCTGACTTGGTTGATGCATGTCATCCTATCCCAAATGTGTTGATCATGCCCATGATGTCAATCACTAGATTGTCTGGTCCAGACTTGATTATTTGCAGACTGCCGTCATGTAGTTGGAATATTGCTGAGTTCGATGTTTAAAGAAAACAAATCCTACACAAGTGAGTGAGTGAGTGAGTATGTTTTTCCGCCGCTTTTAGCAATATTCCAGCAATATCACGTTGGGGGACACCAGAAATGGGCTTCACACATTGTACCCATGTCGGGAATCGAACCCGGGTCTTCGGCGTGACGAGCGAACGCTTGAACCACTAGGCTACCCGACCGCCCCAAATCCTACACAAAGTATGTTTTGAACAACCTGAATTAAAGTCGCCAGGACAGCTGTTTATATACTAACCTGTCATGTGATATCAAAGAATCGGCTGGCCCCTTACTTCTTTTGAGTAGTATAACTGAAATACTATTCAACTGAACAACAACGAATTGAATATTCATGTACTTCTGAAAAGACATATTTGTAAAATGTAAAAAGGTGCAATTTAAAAAAAAGGGAAAAACAAGGAGTGAAGGCTTTGACTGCATATGATGTTAACCTTCTAGTCCCTCAAAGACAACCTGCGTTGAATACCCAAACTGAGAAAGAAAATCGGATACACACTCATCTACTGATAATAGAGTTAGCAATTCGAATACATGGGTAATAGCACATTACAAATATGCATTTAATACAATTATTCTATTATTATTAATAAAAACAGCCAAATTACTTTGATCTTCGAGTACTCGGAATCTATTTTATCTGGAGTCCTAAAAGACTGTACAAGAATTGCCGGGAACTAATGGTCCATTCTGTGCTAAAGGAAAACAAAACTTCATAATCAGTGTGAAGTTGTGTGATTTTATTGGTTAACCAAGCTTGTACCATCTAAATCTAATTAAAATCAGACCTTAGTTCTCGCTGCCGCTAAACAAAGATCGGAGGACATCCCATTAGGGGTCATGTCAGAACGACCTTTCATCCTACCAATCAGAGCATTGCTTAGCAGATCATGAAAGTGACAGTCGGAATGTGATTACTAATCATGCAACCTCGAAAACTTTAACACGGGATATTCCGAACGATAGTTACGAGTTACGACTGAATCCATACAATCTGGACTATCTATTAGCCATTCCAAAATGTTCTTTTGTTCAGGTTTCAAATTTTAAATCGAGAATTTGTCAAAATATGTTTCGAAGCGTAGTTGACAACTTGAAATTAGTGCCGTAAAGCAAGAGAAAGCTGTCTTCTGATTGGTTATTCCATTGGTCGGTCAAACTTCGCGTAAGGTCGGTCTGACATGACCCGTACTGGGATGTCCTCAGATCTTTGTTTAGCGGTAACGAGAACTAAGAACTGGTTTTAATGAGATTGTAACTCATCTTCAGTCACAAATTTACATCATTGGTCCACATTAAATCTCAATCTGAGAAAAGTCCAGTGACTTCCAATATAAAACATAACCCATTTCTCCTGTGGGAGTGGGACACTTATACACATACATATTTACAGATGAAACAGTGCACAATGTCTGTCATAACTCTAAAACACAGGTATTAAAGTAGGGACTGTGCCTGGTGTAGAAAACCATGTAAAATATGTGTGTGAACTCACTCCTTCAGTCTTACATATAATTAGCTATTCTACTTCCTGGAGTGCATGTATTTTAGCCCGGAGCCTAAAATTTGGTTTCATCACCTATTAGAACCAATATTTCATCCAAAAATAAACCCAAAGCTTAAATATTAAAAATTAGCATACTTGACTAAGTCTTCATTTCATTAAGTTTTAGGAATCAACTCTTATCGAAGTGGACACAATTTATGGATAACAACAGTCTTGCTTGACAAGTACAAGGAGCTAGGCTGAAACATTGCTAGAATAGTATATTAAAGAAGTCATAATCAATAAATTGTGTCTACTTTGTCATTTGTCAACTTCTAAGAAGTGCCTATTAACATGATTAAACAATTCAACTCTTTTCCATTTCAAAAGTACAATAAAACACTAATGCGCAACATTTACCGTATTCGACGTAATAAGCGCCCAGGGCGCTCTCAAAATTAGAAATAGGGGCTCTTATTACAATATAATTTTGGTGAGAAAAAAAACAGAGTTGAAAGATTGTAAATTTTGTGGTTTATGCTGACAGCCTGAAATGATATAAAAGAAGAATCTGTGTGTATTATACACGATAGATATATTTTTCGAGAATTTTAATTGCCCATAATTGAGGGTGCATATAACACACAAGTTTCGTATTATACACGAATAAATAAGTCCTGTGTACATTGATCAATTGGAAAGGGTGCTAATTTGGATTGTTCACTAGCCATAATATTAGCAAATATCGCCATGGGCGCTTCTTAGAGCGGGGTGCATATTACGACGAATACGGTATGTATAAACACCAAAACATGAAATACAACTGAACTGAGCATTGTGTTATATAAATATGGAAGCCTAGATTATCCTATTAACACCACCACATTCCATGATTCAAAATACCCCTGAATAGAGGGAATAACTCAAAATTGATTTCCGAATATAAACACATGGGTTTAAAAATGAGAAAAAATCTTGTATTTAAATCTATGAGCTGAAAATGGCAGGGCCTAAATACATTCATTCCTGGCAGTAGAGCTGAAGGGGTACTTGTCATGAGGGTTACTACGTCATGCGACATACAGCATCTCGCCGAGCATCTCATCTTAACACAAGTTGATAAAATTTAAAAACTTTGATCGTGTTGATGTATATGATATCAAAAGTCACAAGGGCAAGATTCTATTTAGCTTCCAAAATCATTACTTGAAATGTTTCAGTTTGTAATAATTAGTGTCTTGTGTGGAAAAATAATGTAAACAGATTCAGTGGCAGAGAGATTAGTGATGTCATGGTAACCGATGACATCACAGAGTGCAAAGGATAGTGATGCCGTCATTGTATCGATATCTCCTAGGAGATATATCATGATGTCACCTAAGTGAGATCTCTGGTGAAGCCAGTTTGGGATGATAAAGAAATCTACCTGGCCAAAACCACGCTACAGATATGTAGCCCAGCCAGACAAGCCTATTCAATTGTGTGCATAACCGTTTTCAGTTCCACTTTAAACATACTCGCACATTGCGGAAAAAGATTGTTGTTTTAAAATGGCGACTGTGGTGTCCAGATAAAAACTTATCAGAACGTATGATTTGAGCAGCAAGAGAAAGTCTGAAAACCAGTCAACACATCATCAATTAAGATTTCACACACTTTTGAAACAACTTGTGCAGTTGACCTACAGCTATCAGTTGCCAGCTAGGGTGTAGAGAGTATCCTTCACGACAACGACCCCCGCTATAGACAGGCACCCTGACTATACACGCATCTCAACTAAAATCACTTAGACAGTCCTCCGGTCTACTCATAACACTGTAAAATGAATTTGCATGTGCTGTAGTTTGGTTAAATAGCACAAAATCAGAAGCCAACAAATTTTCAGGAATTTTCACTGCATATGAATACTTCAGGATTATTTTTCTGGTCTCCAATTCTAAAAACATGGTGATGTGAATATTCAATGGATGTTTGTTGTAATTTGATTAATATTTGAAGTCCAACTACATTTTTCTCTTCAATTCTGCACATCTGGTGTTATATTTGTCATGGAAGAACAGGTGGCCCAGTCATATAAGGCACCGGTATTTGCTGTACAGAGTTGCTTCCCTTGCCAGAAGCCTGTGATCTGGGTTCAAATCCCAGATTTACTCTCAATGTTTTCACTGATCTGTCAGCACCATACCCATGCTCATAGATTACACAAATGGTATTTGTCTAAGACCTGCCCCAAATCTATACAGAATTCAAACATGAATCAATCTCATTAAAATCAGATCTTAGTTCTCGCCATCGCAAAACAAAGATCTGAGGACATCCCATTAGGGTACACGTCAGAACGACCTTTCATCCAACCAATCAGAGCGTCGCTTACTAGATCATGAAAGTGACAGTCGGAATGTGATTTCATTTCATGCAACGTCGAAAACCTTAACATGGGGTATTCCGGACGATAGTTACGGGCTAAACGACTGAATCCATACAATCTAGACCATCTATTAGCCATTCCAGAATGTTCTTTTGTTCAGGTTTCAACTTTTTAATCGAGTATTTGTCAAAATATGTTTCGGAGCGTAATCGCCAATTTGAAATTAGTGCTTTAAAGCACGAGAAAGCTGCCTTCTGATTGGCTAATGTTGACTTCTTGTCAGTCATTCCATTGGTCGGTCGAAGTTCGCGAAAAGTCAGTCTGACGTGACCCGTAATGGGATGTCCTCAGATCTTTGTTTAGCGGTAGCAAGAACTAAGATTTGATTTAAATGAGATTGAACATGAATCGACATATGGGTAGGCATATTGTGTATCATATCGTCAGGGGAAACAAGTAATGCATGGACACCTGATTGACTCGTGACACTGATACATTTCATATACCATGTATACCAGTCCAACTGTCGCGCAAAACACAAAAAGAAATGTTCTCCCAAATGGAACTTGTGTGACACAACCAACAAGATTTATCCGGAGTTCACAGATAATGGCTGGCAGGAGTCTTCATGCAAGTGCATTGTTGTGCATATTGTGAATTACTACCATGTCAGTTGTTACGTGATCATGCTGGTTAGTGTCGGAAATATTTCACCAGCCCATCATAAATATTTACCACCTTGTCTTCTTGTGGTCAGTATCGTTATCTGGTCCATCAACTATTTGTTTGCTTTTTTTTAAGGCTGCACTCAGCAATATTGCAGCTAAATAATCAAGTCAGGACCAGACAATCCAGTGATTGACATCACAAGAATTGATCTACACAATTAAAATACAATGACATGCATCAACCATGTCCATTAACTCGTGATCTGAAACGTTTACTAGTCCATCAACTCGTGGTCTGAAACATTTACCATGTTTACTAGTCCATCAATTTGTGGTCTGAAACGTTTACTAGTCCATCAACTAGTGGTCTGAAACGACAACTAGTCCATCAACTAGTGGTCTCAAAAGTTAACTAGTCCATCAACTCGTTGTCTGAAAAATTTACTAGTCCATCTACTAGTGGTCTGAAACATTTACTTGTTCATCAACTCACGGTCTGAAACGTTTAATGGACAATCAACTCATGGTCTGAAACGTTTACTGATCCATCAACTCATGGTCTGAAACGTATACTTGTCCATCAACTCGTGGTCTGAAACGTTTACTGGACCATCAACTCGTGGTCTGAAACGTATACTTGTCCATCAACTCGTGGTCTGAAACGTTTACTGGACCATCAACTCGTGGTCTGAAACGTTTACTGGACCATCAACTCGTGGTCTGAAACGTTTACTGGACCATCAACTCATGGTCTGAAACGTTTACTGGACCATCAACTCATGGTCTGAAACGTTAACTGGACCATCACTGAACCTCCCTTTGCTTTATTATAGGTTACATGACTGGAAAACGGTTAAGTGAAGGTTAAATTATTTTACCCGAGACTCAACTTCCAAGATGTGCTAAGAGGAAACTGACACAAAAACAGTTAACATGGGACCATTCGTACCAATGATTTCACTAACCCAAAAATGTGTAAATCTGGACAATTTCACTGAGAACCCTACCATCAGGAATAATAGGGGTTCACTGTGTTTATTATTAATTTGAGATGCAGCAATTCCTCATCATATTTCACAAGCGTCAGACACTCCATGCCTCCTTGAGTTAGTGTTGAAGTAAATACCAGGGACAAGAGGTTCAACATCTAGCTGCTCTGCTTTCTGAGCTGATCGTACACAGTCTGATTGTCATCGAGCGAGAGCACATGGGAGAACTGGTCACACACGCGACTGAAGTGACTTCCTTCCCAGAACACCTTGCCACAGTTCGCACAACAGTAAAACAACTCCACACTCTCAAACTTAGACTTGTGTACGGCTTCCACCTGTAGCGGAGCCCCGCTCGTTACCACGGTAACCGTGCCCCAGTCCACGCTGTACTGTGTGAGGAAGTGGGCACCGTCGGCCGCCATGCTGCCCAACATAGAAGACAGGGCTACATTGTTTGTCGTCTTAGTTCGACTTTTCTGATATTCGAGCTGTTGTTTCCTGTCGTAAAGTATCTTTAGGTCCGAGGCTGGGATTTCAAGGTACTCATCTCCATTACAGACCTGTGAACAGAGTAAAGGTAAACGATGAGACATAAAATCAACTCTGTGAACAGAGTAAAGGTAAACGATGAGACATAAAATCAAGTCTGTGAACAGAGTAAAGGTAAACGATGAGACATAAAATCAAGTCTGTGAACAGAGTAAAGGTAAACGATGAGACATAAAATCAACTCTATGAACTTCTGAGTGTCTTCAAACTGAAATATTCTACAATTTCCAGATCTGCAGGCCTTGTAGTTCAAGAGAAGATGTCGAAATGCAGTAACACTATTATAACGAGGGTATGTGGAAGAGAAAGTCAACGGGATAAAAAAAAAATCAAAATAGTAAAAAATGTATTACAAGTTATTCAAAGCCACATACTTGCTCAATATCAGATTTCATATTGATACACATAGAAATGGCTGTGTTAATGCCCAAAATGACATATTCAACTGCCATGGCAGCCACATATAAAATGGGACAATACTGTAAGCAATTCTAACAGAGGCCTTGTAGCTTGAGAGGAGAGATCTAAAATGCCAACGTGTACAATGGATGACAGACATCGAACAACGCACCGTGACATAAGCTCACTGATTTTTAATCAGATGAGCTAACCATGTTGGTCCAGACCAGTGAACATCCTAAACAACTTGCCCCGTGACATCGCTGTATGTCTTTAACCAGAACTGACCTGACATCGACTGAAAATATCCTGCTGTGTGACCTTGACATTGAAGTGTTTGAGGACCTCCGTGGCCTGATCGCCTGCCTTTTGACAGACCACATTGTAGCACATCGCCTCTCCCACGTGGGACCGAATCTGAAGTCAAATGTGTTCTTACTCCATAACTCTGACACATCATTCCAGACTTTCATAAAATCTGTCACGCAAACAAACAATCAGATGAAAGGTTATTCAGCTTTGGAAACAAACTAGAGTACTAAAAGAAAGGACTCAAGTTACACCCTGTTCCTACAGTTAGGACTACTGGTGTACATTAATGTACAATGTTTTATCACAGGGACCAGGAAATCGTTACCACTTTTACCTCATTTTAGTCGGTTCTTAAGGCGTGAGGTGAGGTGAGGTGAAATTGGGTTTAACGTCGCGTCCAAGATTATTGCACTTATATAGCGACGTGCATGCACGTGTATGTGTGTGTGTGGCTGCTTGTACTAGTCCGGACTGATGTCGATTTATAGTGCTAGCTCACCGAGATACCATGCCGCAGTTTAACATGAATACCCCACTCAGACACAGTATACTGACTCTGTGCCGACCAGTCCTTGTTTTAGCCCCTTAATGCCGAGCGCCAGACAGGGTAACAACAAGTACCATCTTTTAACGTCTTTTGGTATGACGCGGCCGGGGATCGAACCCCGGACCTTCCACACTCCGGGCGGACGCTCTACCACAAGGCCACGGAGGCGGCGGTTCTTAAGGCAATCATGGTGTGCAGGTAACCAATATTACCCCCGAGACCCCACAGGGACACAAGCATAAGGCTCTACATCTTCCCGAGGCAAGGGTGTTATCTGACTATAAAAGTCCAGTTTCCACCCTTGCCGAACTAGGCTGGCATTATGGAGTTACATTTTGGCTGGACTAACGAGTCTATGCATAGTCCAATCAAAATGGCGCAACAAAATAGAAATCCGGTTTGTAAACTGTTGTGCAGATTTCGGTCGATTGCATGACTTGCAAATCATGTGCACCGCCAAGTCGTTGTCAACAGATATTTTGCAAGTCTTTTCATGTTTTTAATCAAGGTGCTCATGTGATATTTGATGCACTTCGCGATGTAAGACCCGTTTTATCACAATATAAATCTTGATTATCTACAAGATCGTCTTGACTGAGCGCCGCTGTTTTGTTTGAAACAAATGCAAGTGATACGGAAGGCTGAATCTGAGAGAGGCTTAGAAGGGACATAACTCTATAAAGGGACATAAAAATCACTGGTGGCGCTATGATTGAGCCCAGGAACTCCAGCCTTGTTCGGCAAGGGTGGAAACTGGACTTTTATAGTCAGTTAACTCCTTGCCTCAGGAAGATGAAGATTCTAGGACCTTATCTACTGTGGAATCCAATCATGAAGTTCTAGGGACATAATCTTTTGTGGAATCCCCACAGGGATAAGATTCTAGGGACCGAATCTATACCACAATCCCCACAGGGAGACAACATGAGGTTCCAGGGACCTACTCTTCCCTGGAATCCCACCATGTAACTAGTATGGAGCACTGGGGACAGCAAGAGAGGAGGTACCTACCATCTTGTAAGGGTAGCCACTGGACAGAGCTATCCTGCCTTGCTCCTTACAAATCTGAAATGGGAAGTTTCAATATCAATCGACATTAAATGTTTGTTTGTTGCTTAATGCCGCACTCACCAGTATATCAGTTAAATGTCATTCACCTGTAAATAAGCCTCAACCAGACAAATAAGTCGTTAATATTATCCACGTACTCAATGACACATCCACGTACTCAATGACACAATCCACGTACTCAATGACACAATCCACGTACTCAATGACACAATCCAGGTCCTCAATGACACAATCCACATCCTCAATGACACAATCCACGTCCTCAATGACACAATCCACATCCTCAATGACACAATCAACCTGACCACCAGACACAACAGGTACAATACATTTTAACATGGAATATCCACCAGGCAATAAATAGTGAGTGAGTGAGTATTGTTTTTACGCTGCTTTTAACAATATTCTAGCAATATCACGGCGGGGGACACCAGAAATGGGCTTCACACATTGTACCCATGTCGGGAATCGAACCGGGTCTTAAGCGTGACGAACGAATGCTTTAACCACTAGGCTACCCGACAGTTCCCCAGGTAATAAATAGGTCATTCTGTCACAGATCAACACTCCTATCAACAAGTTAGTTATACATCCTATCCAATTAAACACAAATCTTTTACTTCGATACGATCTCTCTGCATAAAGATCTGACAACCCCTTGATAGAAGGACCTGTCGTGTGAACCCGGAAGAAACCTTTGACTACCCAATCTAAATGAAGCATGCGTGGGTTCGTGAGCCAATTTAGAGGCCAATTTGTCTAAAATGATTCATCATTATATGTTCACCTCGATTTGGAAACTTTGACTTTAACAAAAGAAAACACACAGAACCTAAATATTCCTTCAAGAATACTCTGTGTTGGGTGTGGATGCCATGGTGTTCAGCAACAACAGAATGAAGTAAAATACTCACAACATCATATTTGTGCAGATTTGTGAAGCCTTTAAGAATGACATTTGGAACTGGCCGTTAAACTTCATTTTTGAGATACAGCAATCACATTTACTGGTCTCCATGATTCGTCCACTCATACTGAAATCTTAGAAGCTCTAATGATGACTGGCTGAAAGTTCACCTGATAAGACTTCCTATGGTGGGGTTGTCAGAGTTTCGTGCAGAGAGGTATTGTATTAGGGGGGAAATTCTGAGCTTAATGAGACTGGCCACACATTGAGGACTCTGACAGAAATGCATACTGACCACTATAGCCTTCTCATGGTCGTCATTGGCCTCTAAGATGATGACATCGACACCACAACTGCGCAGGTGCTTGCCGAGGCCTTGCAGCATGGTGTCCACGACCACCCTCAGCTGGTGGGGGGAGATCGGGGGGCCGGACTGGGCGGGGCGGGACGCTTCTGGCTGACCAAAAACAACCTGGCTCAGTTATAGTCTATAGGATTTAATGAGTTAACATTTATGCAAATAATACTTTCTTGCATTTATGAATAAATAATACATGTTATGCATTTGAATAAATGTCTGATGTATTCACAAGAATTATTTTAATGATGATTTGAGTTACCTTAAGTTTAACCCTCACTCACCAGTGCCCCCAGTTGTATAACCCCTACTCACCAGTGTCTCCCAGTAGTATAACCCCCACTCACCAGTGTCCCCCAGTAGTATAACCCCTACTCACTGGTGCCCCCAGTAGTATAACCCCCACTCACCAGTGTCCCCCAATAGTATAACCCCCACTCACCAGTGTCCCCCAGTAGTATACCCCCTACTCACCAGTGTCTCCCAGTAGTATAACCCCCACTCACCAGTGTCCCCCAGTAGTATAACCCCTACTCACTGGTGCCCCCAGTAGTATAACCCCCACTCACCAGTGTCCCCCAGTAGTGTACCCCCCTACTCACCAGTGACCCCCAGTAGTATAACCCCTACTCACCAGTGTCCCCCAATAGTATAACCCCCACTCACCAGTGTCCCCAGTTGTATAACCCCTACTCACCAGTGTCCCCAAGTAGTATAACCCCCACTCACCAGTGACCCCCAGTAGTATAACCCCTACTCACCAGTGTCCCCCAATAGTATAACCCCCACTCACCAGTGTCCCCAGTTGTATAACCCCTACTCACCAGTGTCCCCCAGTAGTATAACCCCCTCTCACCAGTGTCCCCCAGTAGTATAACCCCCACTCACTGGTGCCCCCAGTAGTATAACCCCCACTCACCAGTGTCCCCCAGTAGTATACCCCCTACTCACCAGTGTCCCCCAGTAGTATACCCCCCTAATCACCAGTGTCCCCTGTAGTATAACCCCTACTCACCAGTGTCACCAGTAGTATAACCCCCACTCACCAGTGTCCCCCAGTAGTATAACCCCTACTCACCAGTGCCCCCAGTAGTATACCCCCTACTCACCAGTGCCCCCAGTAGTATACATCCTACTCACCAGTGCCCCCAGTAGTATACCCCCTACTCACCAGTGTCCCCCAGTAGTATACCCCCAACTCACCAGTGTCCCCCAGTAGTATACCCCCCTACTCACTGGTGCCCCCATTAGTATACCCCCCTACTCACCGGTGCCCTCGGTTCAAGCCTCTTCCCAGCTGCTTTTGCTTTCTTCTTGTCTGTTTTTGAAAGCTTCGACCACTTGGCACACACAGGGGGCTCGAGGTCAACCTGCAGCCCTGACTGCCGTGCATGTGAGGTCAGCACTTTGTACACCTCGAGCAGGACATAGGCGTCAAGAGCTGACAACAGATGACAGGACATTTAGTAGTTCTAATCACATGGCTTTAAAAACTTGGGCTGATGAGGAAGCGTACCCATTGTGATTCAAATTTAGAGGTATCAAATATTGATTTGATACCTGTAAAGTTTATTCAAAACTGAATGCGGCAGCATCAGTTATCAAATTTGTATCAGAGCTTAAGTCAAAACATCCTCCCTAGAAAAAGTGAAGTGCCTACCTGCATACACAATCTGTGCCTGGCGTAGTGGGCGTTTCTCCCAGTCGGACATCTGCTCCACTTTGCACAAGGGTTTTCCCAAACACTGTCTGACCAGCTCACTCAAGCCACGCTCTTCCTTCTTGGAGAAAGTATACAGCTTCACGGCGACTTCTCCCTCCTCCACATCCTGGCGTCCTGTAGACCCTCTGTCTTCGCCATCAGACAAGAATGAAGACTCATCCAGAACAACTGGGCCATCCCCAAATATCTGTGAAAATTGAGTGCACACTGATCAATTGATCTGAGTAATAATGTAGCAGTGTGAGCATGCTTCAGACTGTGGATTTGGGTATAATAAATATGCACATTATAATTGTGTTGTTCTCATCGCCCGAACATGCACAAGAAATATTTGGAGCAGAGAAAACAACAATCAATTTGATTTGTTTGTAGTATTTATGCTGTAGTCAACCCATGCTTGTCGTAAGAGGCTACTAACGGGATCAGGTGGTCAGGCTCGCTGACTTGGTTGATGCATGTCATTTTATCCAAATTTCAGGGATCGATGCTCATGATATCAATTACTGGATTGTCTGGTCTAGACTCGATTATTTACAGACCGCCATCATATAGCTGGAAAAGTGCTGAGTGAGGCGCTAAACAACTAACAAACAACACACAATCGGGTGCTAGGGACGGATTTAAACACATATCCCTTGACTAAAAAGCACTGATTCCAGCACCCAGTGCCCCACCAAGCTATGGGGTCAAGATACCAGCACCCAGTGCCCCACCAGTCTATGGAGGTCAAGATTCCAGCACCCAGTGCCCCACCACAGTCTATGAGGTCAAGATTCCAGCACCCAGTGCCCCACCAGTCTATGGAGGTCAAGATTCCAGCACCCAGTGCCCCACCACAGTCTATGAGGTCAAGATTCCAGCACCCAGTACCACACAGGTCTATGAGGTCAAGATTCCAGCACCCAGAGCCCCACCAGTCTATGGAGGTCAAGATTCCAGCATCCAGTGCCACACCAGTCTATGAGGTCAAGATACCAGCACCCAGTGCCCCACCAGTCTATGAGGTCATGATTCCAGCACCCAGTGCCCACCAGTCCATGAGGTCAAGATTCCAGCACCCAGTGCCCCACCAGTCTATGAGGTCAGGATTCCAGCACCCAGTGCCCCACCAGTCCATGAGGTCAAGATTCCAGCACCCAGTGCCCCACCAGTCCATGAGGTTAAGATTCCAGCACCCAGTGCCCCACCACAGTCTATGAGGTCAAGATTCCAGCACCCAGTGCCCCACCAGTCCATGAGGTCAAGATTCCAGCACCCAGTGCCCCACCACAGTCTACAAGGTCAAGATTCCAACACCCAGTGCCACTACAGTCTATGGAGGTCAAGATTCCAGCATCCAGTGCCACACCAGTCTATGAGGTCAAGATTCCAGCACCCAGTGCCCCACCACAGTCTATGAGGTCAAGATTCCAGCACCCAGTGCCCCACCAGTCTATGAGGTCAAGATTCCAGCACCCAGTGCCCCACCAGTCTATGAGGTCAAGATTCCAGCACCCAGTGCCCCACCAGTCTATGAGGTCAAGATTCCAGCACCCAGTGGACCACCAGTCTATGAGGTTAAGATTCCAGCACCCAGTGCCACACAGGTCTAAGAGGTCAAGATTCCAGCACCCAGTGCCCCACCAGTCTATGAGGTCAAGATTCCAGCACCCAGTGGCACACCAGTCTATGAGGTCAAGATTCCAGCACCCAGTGGCACACCAGTCTATGAGGTCAAGATTCCAGCATGCAGTGCCCTGACACAGCCTACAAGATGATGATTGACGTACCTGCACCACAGTCTATGAGGTCAAGATTCCAGCACCCAGTGGACCACCAGTCTATGAGGTCATGCAGTGCCCCGACACAGCCTACAAGGTGATGACTGACGTACCTGCTTGCTGAGGTCCTCCACATTGACGACCCTCTTCATCCTCATCAGTGGCTCCTTCATGCTGGGGAAGGTCTTGGTGAACATGGACAGGTCGGTCTCAAGGCCATAACCTGCACAAAAAACACAGGCTGTCTGTTGTTCAACATTGCACTCGGCTATAGTCCACACATATGTAACATCTTTCTGCAAGTAATGGGAGGTGAAATGGGGTTTAACGTCGCGTCCAAGATTATTTCACTTATATAGCGACGTGCATGTACATGTGTGTGTTTTTGTGGCTACTTGTACTAGTCTGGACTAATGCCAATTTATAGTGCTAGCTCACTGAGATACCATGCTGCAGTTTAACATAAATACCCCACTCAGACAAAGTATACTGACTCCAAGCCGACCCCCTTAATGGCAACAACAGACAGGGCAACAACAAGTACCATCTTGATTGTTTGAAAAGTTTCAATTTGGATATCACCTCTTATCACAGCCATAGAAACTAACATATTTGATCTACTATTCTTATGATGACAAAATATAGCAAAACACTTAAAATTGTAGAATTTTCCTATTCGGAATATTCTATAAGTAATACGTTACCACTGTTATACCGAGGCTGTTGTCTCCCACAACTGCTGTTATAGCGAAATCTACCACAGAGATCTCAATTACCTCATGCAGCACGTGCGTAGCCACCTGGCTGCCATGTGACACCCTTCACTCTTGTCTCCTGCGAGAGCAAGTGCTCGGGGGACGGACGGGCGGGCAGCAGCCCAGTGGTAACGTATTACTTATAGAATATTCCGAATAGGAAAATTCTACAAATTACATTAAGTAATACGTTACCACTGTTATACCGAGGCTGACTACCACAGTAGACGGTGGGGAGCACCTACAACCCGAATCCTGACTGCTAGCGTTCCTTCCGACCAGCGGAAGTAAACACCAAGGCGGAAGCACTCGATGCGCATGCACCTAGCTAGGCGTTACCCTATAGGAATACCAAAGCACTGTCAAGCGCATACCGTAAGGCTCAATCGTCAATGCCAAAACGATTGGTGACTCCAAACGGCCCCACTGGATAGGTATTTCATCGCCGCAGCGGATGAGAACACTGTATCCGCGTGAGCTAAATCTTAGATCAGGTTAAACAGTCGAAAAGAGGGAAATTAATTTCCTTCAGACCGTATATCCCAGAGCAAGCCTACTTAAAGTATGCATTAGGCGCGTGACCTAATTCCAGTATTCGTAAGCATGTATCGCAAGGTTGGAATACACGACAGACAATTAAATGCATAATTGTCAAAATACAAATAAGGACAAAACACACAAAAAGCCGCCTCACCTGTGGTGTGAGTGCGCTGGTTTGCAGGACCCCCACTCCTGTACCCACGGCGTGGGAACATTGGAGACGACCCAGATTGACCACCGTGCAAGGACTGACGACTGCGGAGTTTGGAATTGCGCTGGACACACCCCCTAGATGACCGCTTGTGCCGCGATCAGCGGCCCAAGACGGTGCACCCCCTCCACGTCTTCATCAGAAACCTTTCTGAGGTAATGATTGGCAAAAACCGAGTCAGAACGCCAGTAACAACCTCGTAATATTCTGTGAACAGAGATATTCGAGTGTAGGGCAAATGTTGCCGCTAGCGCCCTGATCTCGTGCGGGTTTGACCCCGCTACCGGTAACCCCCGAGACCGGTACGCCAGATTGATGACAGAACGAAGCCACAACGCAATCGAGTTGCGAGTTATGTCAACCGTGCGATTAGGGTTACACGATATGAACAGACGGTCACGCCCTTGTCTACGTTCATTCGAAGCCTTAAGATAATACTTAAGGGCCCTAACCGGACACAGCGCTCTGTCCTCAGTATCAGCAGGATGTAAGATTTCTTTGAGGGATCTTACAGTGAATTCTCTCTATGTTGCCCGACTCTCTGATTCTTGGCGACGAAGCCCATGAGCAGGCCCAGGCGGACCGCTCCTTCGTCACCCCTATCGAATCGTACCTTGGCGACATCGAGTGCATGAATTTCGGATACACGTGCCGCCGTGGCAAAGGAGAGGAGAAATGCTGTTTTCCAAGTCACATGCCGGAACGAAGCACTATGCAAGGGTTCATACGGAGCTTCCGTGAGTGATTGCAACACTAGGGAAAGATCCCAGGCCGGTGCCCAAAGGCGGCCCTTCTTAAGATCGTGCTGTTTGAAACCCTTGATAATACCCCGTATCACCGGCTCTTTGGAGAGACTGGTACCCATAGCAACGTCCCATACCGTAGCAACGGACGAGACATAGTTGGCAATGGAACCCCCGGAGAGTTTCCGGGTCTCTCGCAAGTGAGACATGAAACGAGCAATATCCTGCACAGATACCTTATCTGGCGAATGAATGTGATGTTTACAACACCACTTCGTGAAAATAACCCAACGTGCATTATACACCTTCTGGGTAGAATCACGATGCATACTAACGTATGCCCGAGACGCCCGGCGAGAAAAACCTTTACTCCTCAGACGCTCGGTGACAACATCCACGCGTGCAGATTGAACTGCCCTGCGTTTGGATGAAGCTGACGGGTGTGGGGGTGGATCAAGAGATCCGGTCTCACAGGCAGTGGGAGTGGCGACTGCGTGACCTGGGTCAGCAAGTCGGGGTACCACGATCTGTTCGGCCACATGGGCGCGATCAGTAACATTCGACAGCGAACTCCTCGAAGCCGGCTTAGAATGTGTGGTATCAACGCTGTCGGCGGGTAAGCATAAGCGTCCAAGCCCGTCCAGTCTAACGCGAGAGCATCGTGATCGATGGCCCTCGGGTCCGGGACTGGTGATACAAACAACGGGAGTTGATTGTTGAACCGTGTTGCGAACAGGTCGACCATCGGACGACCCAAACGTTCGCACAGCCACTGAAACACCACTGGGTTCAGCATCCACTCTGTGGGGCTCGGATCCTGAGGCCTCGATAGAGCATCGGCCAGTACGTTCCGCACACCTGGGATGTGACGGGCGCGTATCTGGCACGGGACACTGTCCACCAGAGCGTAAAACTCGAACGTGAGATCGAGTAGCGAGTGACTGTGGGTTCCCCCCAGTTTGTTCACATAGGACACTACCGTCGTGTTGTCGGTCGCCAGCATGAGCCGGGCGTCGACGAGACGATGCTTCCAGTGATTGACTGCGTTGATCACTGCCTTGAACTCGAGACAATTGATGTGAAGACCTAGTTCGTCTACGCACCACAGCCCCGAGCTCACCTCCCCCTCTAGATGGGCGCCCCAGCCCACTAGAGAGGCGTCTGTATACAGGTTCAACGTGGCCCGGTAGGGCCGCATAGAGACTCCTGATAAGACATTGTAAGGGAGCGTCCACCACTCCAGATGCGGTCGGAGCCGATCCGGGAGGGCGACGGTCGCACTGTTCACCTCCGTTGCTAACAACTGGATTAAAAACCGTTGCAGCGGGCAGAGTTGGAGACGACCCCGTTCGGTGCAGTCCTGGGCTGATACAAGTAGCCCTAACAGCTGTTCCCAAAAGTGAACAGTCTGTTGCACCGCTAAGACTTTGGCAATCATCGCCTGAATTTTGTGCCACCGGTCTGGGGGGACAAATAGGCGATGGGACACCGTGTTGAACCGACCTCCGATGAACTGCAAGTTCTGAGAAGGGGTTAACTCGCTCTTGGGGAGATTGACAATCCACCCCAATTGCTCCAAGAGCCGACGTGCGAAAACGAGATGGCGTGACAGGGTGTCCGACATTCGATTTGCTACTAGCGAGTCGTCCAGGTACGCGAAGTACCGGACACCCCTCCCGGGAGGAACCCCACTATGGGGGTGGTTAACCGGGTGAACAGCCAGGGAGCGGATGAAAGACCGAATGGGAGTACAACCCACTCGTAGTGCCTGCCTTGAAAGACAAACCTGAGATACTTCTGATGATCCGAGTGAATCGGAACATGCAGATAAGCATCCTTCAGGTCGATCGAAGCTAGCCAGTCGGCCGGCATGATCAGTGCTTTCAGGTCCGTCAAGCTCAACATTCTGAACTTGGGCGGTTTGCGCAGGTAGAACTCGTTGAACGATTTCAAGTTGTGAATCATTCTGAGTTCGGCACTGTCCTTCTTGGGAACGAGAAATATCCTGGAGTAAAACCCCGGTGTTATTTCTGGTAGAGCTAACTCCCGAACTGCCCTCTTCTCCACCAACCTGCCGATGGCATCGGCGAGGAAGGGAAGATCGGTTTCCGAATAGAAACCTGCCGACGGGGCAACGGTGAGCGGCGGATTCGCTATGAGATCGAGCCGATAGCCGTACCGAATCGTGTTGACCACCCACGGGTCGTCGAACACTTGTTCCCAATTCTCCCAGTAAGTCTGGAGTCTGGCTCCCACTGGGGAAAGAGAGGGGGGCCGGACAGGCTGCGGCAGGCGCAACTGTCCAGGGCCAAGTGACTCGGGTTCGCCTACGGGCCAACCGAAGTTGGCGCTGTCGGCATACGAACCCCTCCAATGAGAGTCACCTGGAGGGGCCCTTGCCGTCCTTAGACGACTTGGGCTTCCCCCAGTTCCCCTTCTTCCCGCGAAAGGGCTGCTGAGAACCCTTACCGGAGCCCTCAGAGCGGGGCTTCTTCCCGGAGGAAGAAGGACCCGACCCCTTAGGCCTGCCGGACGCAGCATCCTGGGGCGCGCTCCGCTTCGGAGCGGCACCCAGGCGCCTATGCAAGGACCCCACAAGATCCAGTGTGTGCCGAGAGGCCTCGGCAGACACAGCGGCCTGTTGTTCCTTCAGAACCCCAGGGATCTTGTTATTAAAAAAGGGTCCGAGCAGACCAAGGCTGCGAAAGGAGCACCTCCTGATTAGCAGCGTCCAACCCTGAAGCAACCAGATACGACTGGCGCCGAAGAAAATGGCACGTGCCGGAAACAAAGGCCGAAGCCCCGGCAACGTACTCCAGGGAAGCATTCAAACCGAGCAAGCAGTTGTAAATGCGCTGGTCTCGGTCCGTGGGAGAACCTTCGACCAGACTGGCCGCTGCAGCCAGGTATGTGTCTCCGTGAGACATTGCCAGCATGGAGTGTCGAGCGAGGGTGTCCAGCTGTTGCAAGGTACCTTGTGGTACCGTGGCAACCGGTGGGGCACGGACCCCCAAACGCTCCACATGGGCTTCCGCAGAAGGACCAGCCTCGGGAAAGGCAAGGTCATGTACTGGGAAAGACCCTTTTCTCCACGACGGGGGAGGTAACGGGAGACCCCGACCGGAGGCAGCCGTGAAGGCCTTCTCCAAAGAAGGCTTAATCCCGCGCAGCAAGGTTGATGCCGGGAAAGCCTTGTCGGACGTCTCGTCGTATACCTCGGAGGAACCCACGGAACCGTGGATTCCCCGCGGTATCGGCAGGGGCTTTGGCATGTCCTCGAAGAGGTCATACACCATGGCAACGCAGTCCTTAACCGATAGCGGAAGCAACGGTTCGGGGGAAGGACCGGTAACCACGGCAGCCGCCGCCGTACCGGTGGACCCCGCGTCCGAACCCGCGGCCACCGAAGAGGCCGGGGACGGAACAGCCAGCGGCCTATCTTGCGATAAGGCCGCCAGCTTGGAGTCCACAAGTTTCGACAATAATGCGGCGACGGAAGCCCCAGACAGCCCGAGGGCCGCAAGGGGATCCGCCGCAGCCGAGGAGGTGGTACCCGCACGGGGACCCCGACCGGACGAACCGGCCACCACAGGGGTGGAGACAGACTGTACGTACAGCCGGTACCGCTCAAACTCCGCAGGCCCCAGACCTTCGCACAGGGTACACCGGGTGTCCCCGCAAGGAACCCTGCACCGCGGGCAACGATCGTGGGGATCCCGGGATGACAAAAACTTTCTGCACACCCCACAACTCCGAGGAGCAGGGGTAGAGGGGGTGGATACTGGGGACATATCCATGTCAGACATTGTTTGCTATAAACAAAGAACAAAACATGGTTACAACGCACGCACCACAACGATTCACAAACGAGCATTTTCACAAGAAAATAAACGAGCAATGTGAACATATAACATACACATATAACTTTTATTAAAGAAATAAGTTATGTTAACCCCCAAAACATACAAGAACAGGGGAAACGTAAAACACAACGTGCATACGCGAACCCCGCAAGTATAGAGAAAAAAGGGCGGGAAAAATTTTCCGTTTGGCGGGAAAATTATAACCAAGCGTAGCTACCGCAACGCCCCATAAAAGCACAGTTTATTAGAGAATAAACTATAATAAATATCACCAAATCTTCCAGGAACGCTTCAGCAGGAGAAAACACGTCTTGCTAAGAAGACGAAGGAGACAAGAGTGAAGGGTGTCACATGGCAGCTAGGTGGCTACGCACGTGCTGCATGAGGTAATTGAGATCTCTGTGGTAGATTTCGCTATAGCAGCAGTTGTGGGAGACAACAGCCTCGGTATAACAGTGGTAACGTATTACTTAATGTAATATGGCCTCATCATACCTTAACTATTGGGCAGCTTGACAACGACTATAAGGCTAGTGCCAATTTCTGTGTCAATGGGTGAGGTGAAATGGGGTTTAACATCGCGTCCAAGAGTATTGCACTTATTTAGCGACGTGCATGTACGTGTGTGTGTTTGTGTGGCTGCTTGTACTAGTCCGGACTGTTGCCGATTTATAGTGCTAGCTCACTGAGATACCATGCCGCAGTTTAACATGAATACCCCACTCAGACACAGTATACTGACTCCAAGCCGACCAGTCCTTGTTTGCCGAGCGCCAGACAGGGTAATTTTGTGTCAATGAACAAAGGGAGCAAGAGGCCTATTCTAACCTGAAATCCCCACAGGGTAAAAAAAAAACCATCTTACATTTGACACTATTGTCCAGATACATATGCACAGTTGCACAATCTGAGACTTACCTAGCTTCACCGTGGCTTCATTGCAGAAAATGCGACTCGTGAAGTCGGCCCAATCTTGGTCTGTGAGTGTGGACCTGAGCGTAGCGCAGTCGATCAGATAAACCTGGTCCGTCACAGCAAACTGCATCAGGGCCACTCTGTCACACACAAGCAAAACGCCTACCTACATTGTTTGTTTGAAGTGTGTACGACCTCACCTTACATAAAGCATCTACAGAGTTGCCAACACCAAATTGAGGGAATAAGAAAGATCTGGGAACTCTGAAAGAAAATTGTAATGGGTGGATAAGAATGGGGACCCCAGAAATGCCGCTTTTAGCAATATTTCAGCAATATCATGGAGGGGGACACCAGAAATGGGCTTCACACATTGTACCCATGTCCGCATTTGTACCTGGGTCATCGGGGTGACGAGCAAACGCTTTAACCATTGGGCTACCCGACCACCCTCTTATGTGAAGGGACCTGTGAAGATCCAGGGTGGAAAAGGTCTGTAGCAACCCATGCTTGCCGTAAGAGGCGACTAACAGGATCAGTGGTCAGGCTTGCTGACTTGGTTGATGCACATCATCGATCCCAATTGCATGGATCGATGCTCATGATATCAATCACTGGATTGTCTGGTCCAGACTTGATTATTTACAGACCGCGGTCATATAGCTGGAATATTGCCGAGTGCAGCGTTAAACAACAAATAAACCTAAAATCTTATGTGATGGAGAAACTGTGTTTGATGATGCACTCACCTCTGGGGCTGTGCGGCAAAAGCAGGTTTCCACTCCGAGTCGATGCCAATCACTGTGCCGGGCTGGAGACAAATCAGGTATGATGCCAGAATTTTGAAGAAATGTTCTTTTCAAAGGCACAAAAACAATCATGACTAACCACGCTGGATTACTTGTAACAAGACGAGAAACATTTCCTTCTTTGTAAGCCAGTTGAAATAATTTCTAATAATTTTTAATATGATGCCATTAACCATTTTTTATATGATATTATTTCGAACCTGTTGTGTTATTTGTCATTGCCAGGGTGCAAGTAATTTTAGGGGGCATACAAGACAACCTTTTTAACTCAAAATGACAAATGTGATCTGTGTATCATTAGCACAAGTCGCTCCAACTCAAACCCGACCCCCGACCCCCCACCCCCACCCCCTACCCCCTCCCCAACACACACACAAACACACAGACACACAGACACACACTCAGCTGGGACGGCACTATAGCACAGCCTCACCATGCAAAGTCTGGCCACACACTTACAAACAGACAAAGACACAGACACAGACCCAGCGGACGGCACTATACCACAACCTTACCACACTAAGTCTGGCCACACACTTACAAACAGACAAAGACACAGACACAGACACAGCGGACAGCACTTTACCACAACCTTACCACACTAAGTCTGGCCATACACTTACAAACAGACAAAGACACAGAAACAGACCCAGCGGACAGCACTATACCACAACCTTACCACACTAAGTCTGGCCACACACTTACAAACAGACACAGACACAGACCCAGCGGACAGCACTATACCACAACCTTACCACACTAAGTCTGGCCATACACTTACAAACAGACAAAGACACAGACACAGACCCAGCGGACGGCACTATACCACAACCTTACCACACTAAGTCTGGCCACACACTTACAAACAGACAAAGACACAGACACAGACACAGCGGACAGCACTTTACCACAACCTTACCACACTAAGTCTGGCCACACACTTACAAACAGACAAAGACACAGACACAGACACAGCGGACAGCACTTTACCACAACCTTACCACACTAAGTCTGGCCACACACTTACAAACAGACAAAGACACAGACACAGACCCAGCGGACAGCACTATACCACAACCTTACCACACTAAGTCTAGCCACACACTTACAAACAGACAAAGACACAGACACAGACCCAGCGGACAGCACTATACCACAACCTTACCACACTAAGTCTGGCCACACACTTACAAACAGACAAAGACACAGAAACAGACCCAGCGGACAGCACTATACCACAACCTTACCACACTAAGTCTGGCCACACACTTACAAACAGACACAGACACAGACCCAGCGGACAGCACTATACCACAACCTTACCACACTAAGTCTGGCCATACACTTACAAACAGACACAGACACAGACACAGACAAAGCGGACGGCACTATACCACAACCTTACCACACTAAGTCTGGCCATACACTTACAAACAGACACAGACACAGACACAGACCCAGCGGACAGCACTATACCACAACCTTACCACACTAAGTCTGGCTACACACTTACAAACAGACAAAGACACAGACACAGACCCAGCAGACGACACTATACCACAACCTTACCACACTAAGTCTGGCCACACACTTACAAACAGACAAAGACACAGACACAGACCCAGCGGACGGCACTATACCACAACCTTACCACACTAAGTCTGGCTACACACTTACAAACAGACAAAGACACAGACACAGACACAGACACAGCGGACGGCACTATACCACAACCTTACCACACTAAGTCTGGCCACACACTTACAAACAGACAAAGACACAGACACAGACACAGACACAGACAGAGCGGACAGCACTATACCACAACCTTACCACACTAAGTCTGGCCACACACTTACAAACAGACAAAGACACAGACACAGACACAGACCCAGCGGACGGCACTTTACCACAACCTTACCACACTAAGTCTGGCCACACACTTACAAACAGACACAGACACAGACACAGACACAGACACAGACACAGACCCAGCGGACGGCACTATACCACAACCTTACCACACTAAGTCTAGCCACACACTTACAAACAGACAAAGACACAGACACAGACACAGACACAGACAGAGCGGACAGCACTATACCACAACCTTACCACACTAAGTCTGGCCACACACTTACAAACAGACAAAGACACAGACACAGACACAGACCCAGCGGACGGCACTTTACCACAACCTTACCACACTAAGTCTGGCCACACACTTACAAACAGACACAGACACAGACACAGACACAGACACAGACCCAGCGGACGGCACTATACCACAACCTTACCACACTAAGTCTAGCCACACACTTACAAACAGACAAAGACACAGACACAGACCCAGCGGACGGCACTATACCACAACCTTACCACACTAAGTCTGGCGACACACTTACAAACAGACAAAGACACAGACACAGACCCAGCGGACAGCACTATACCACAACCTTACCACACTAAGTCTGGCTACACACTTACAAACAGACACAGACACAGACACAGACCCAGCGGACGGCACTATACCACAACCTTACCACACTAAGTCTGGCCACACACTTACAAACAGACAAAGACACAGACACAGACCCAGCGGACGGCACTATACCACAACCTTACCACACTAAGTCTGGCCAAACACTTACAAACAGACAAAGACACAGACACAGACCCAGCGGACGGCACTATACCACAACCTTACCACACTAAGTCTGGCCACACACTTACAAACAGACAAAGACACAGACACAGACCCAGCGGACGGCACTATACCACAACCTTACCACACTAAGTCTGGCCACACACTTACAAACAGACAAAGACACAGACACAGACCCAGCGGACAGCACTATACCACAACCTTACCACACTAAGTCTGGCCACACACTTACAACAGACAAAGACACAGACACAGACACAGACACAGACCCAGCGGACGGCACTATACCAGAACCTTACCACACTAAGTCTGGCCACACACTTACAAACAGACAAAGACACAGACACAGACACAGACACAGACACAGACCCAGCGGACGGCACTATACCAGAACCTTACCACACTAAGTCTGGCCACACACGCGTTGAGCTTGTCACGAGTGTCGACCAGCGTGATCTGTTCGTGTGGAACCCGCAGGGGATGGTAGTACTTCTTCAGATCCTCCTCCGTGTAGCAGTCATCATCCCAGTTCTCTCCCCCTGTATCATTCCACCCTCCTGTGGCGCCATCTCCGGGTTGCTCACTGTAACCATGGCAACAAGCGCACCAGTCAACATGTCATATACTATTCAAAACAAGTTAAAGAACAGCCGATTGTTTCATGACTAAAGTTAATATTCACATGACAGATTAACAGTAGTCATAAAAAAATCAGCTGTTCTTTAACTTGTTTGGAGTAGTTTATATCCTATGAGTGAGTGAGGGAGTTGGGTTTACCGCCGCTTTTAACAGTATTCCAGTCATATCACGGCTTGTCAGCTTAATGTGGGAGGAAAGCCCGAAGTGATGCAGGTCTCAGACGTTTACCACTTCGATGAAACCCATGAGCACGGGTATGGTGCTGACAAACCTAGAAACATAATCGGGGCAAACCTGGATTCAAACCCACAATCATAGGTTTCTGGCGTGCCTAAGGGACACAACTCTGCACAGCGAATCGCTTTATATCCTATGACTGGTTGAGCTAATTTGGAAATAAACATACTGTGTTTTTAATGTACAGCTTTGTTACCTGTAGATTTAACCGTGCTTAATGGAACTTAGAATCGAACGCACAGCGTGAGGTTTCAAACGTTAAATTTAGCGGGGTTAAAACAGAAGGTAACCTAGCTCTACGTTGAAAACACAGTATGTTTATCTCCATTGTACCATGACTAAAAAATCGCGAACCCTTTGGTGTCAGCATATATAATGTGTGAAGCGGCATGGGTTGAGTCTGGACAGTGTTTTGAGTGGGTTGACGATCTGAATTACGAAATCAAACACAACAGCAATTGAACAAAATATGGCGCTGTACATGCTCAAGCAGTTTGTTTATACCGTAATACTTCACTGGAACATATGAGTGAGTATGGTTTAACGCCGCTTTTAGCAATATTCCAACAATATCACAGCAGGGGACACCAGAAATGGGCTTCACACATTGTACCCATGTCGGGAATCGAGCCCGGGTCTTCGTCGTGACGAGCGAACGCTTTACCCGCTAGGCTACCCGACCGCCCTCGAACATATGACAGGCATTGAAAGCATATAAGCACAACAACATGAGGTGAGAACCCCTAAACAAAACTAAGCAAGCTTTGCAAAGCTTTCATTCTACACCACACTTGCCAGTATGACGTCACATTGCGCATTGTGAGGCAAAAAGTGTGACTTCACAGTAATATATAGAAAAGCGTCAAATTCCAAGCTCTCTGTTCTCCCCAAAACTTAAAATACATTCTCTTTGTTGACTTCTATCATGTTTGCCACACATCCTTTAAATATTGTAATAACCTCAACTTTGCATTTTGTAACCTATAACTGTAGATATAATTATTTAAATATGCCTACAGACAATGACTGAAAAAAAGTACTATTCTATGAATAGTAGCTTCTGCGGTGATGGACCATCTAACCAGCTGTTTCAATCAGAGGTTTTTTTTTGTGATTTAATGGCCTCTGATTGACCAATCAGATCCAAATTCTTAGTAGAATACTTATCATGTGTTTTGACACTATCATGGGTTACTGTGTACCCAGCTTACTATTAAGTTGCAAATGTGGGAGGGCATTGTGCTTTATGACTCTTTGAACACTATTTCAGTTATGTCCGAGTGTGTCAGCAAAGTTTGGAGGGATCTCGGATGAATACCACTTTGGTAAATCCCAGGGGTCCGGAAACCGTCATATGCGCCAGACATGTCCGATTGGGAATCTCAAATGTCCGTTTTAAAATATTGCTTACCGGACATTTTAAAAAGTATTGTCCGGACATTCTTAAATTTTGACCGGACATGATCAACAGTTAGGACTGAGCAGTTTCTGTCTGCAGTTGCAACACAATGAAGATTAACTACACTGACAAGCTTTGTTTGTTTTGATTGCTGTAAATACATCGTACCTACATGATAGTCCAATCGGTCAATCACTGTAATAGGCAATAAACTGAGTTGACACCGATTAATCGAGGATTAATTACTGAGAACATCTTGTTAATTTGAATGAGTTTACAACTGTACATTAACACCTTGCATCATCGATGTACCTCATTATCCTCACAATGCTACGATACGTAACCTCAGACAAGAAGCGAAAGCGTGACGACAGCCAGTCGACCGATGCAGATCAGTCGAGCAGATCTGCCAAACCCTCAAAGTCTGGACGATCATTTTGTAAGTCGTGGTTAACGACTTTCACTCGGTTGACATACAATGAGGATTTGCAGATTTTATTGTTTTCAGTAGCTAGTCGTATATTGAATCTTGATTGACCGCCATTTTGCTTTCTCGGACGATCGATATCCAATTTTTTTATGGTCAATAATTAAGTACAGATGAAAAACGTATTCAAATAACTATTGCTATCAACGATATTTTAGTATTTGTGATTAAATTATCTGTCTTGTTTTTAAAAAAATCTTTAGTTTAAAAAAAAACTTTTCCCGTGAGGTCACGTGATAACCAAATATGGGATAATAGTCTCGATCCAAATGTTACAACGTGTACACTTGAGCAGACTCATGAATATAACTCATGAATATTAATTAGACCGTTCACTACGTTAACAGATCGTTATTATAACAGAAACAAACTTATGTTTTCCATGTAAATCTAAAATGATATTATTTGTTATTAATTGTCCAGTGAATTAAACAATTTAAATTGAAATAATTCATAATTCATCATATTGTGAATACGTAAACTTGTAATGTGTGTGAAAAGTCGTACTAAAATACGCTATTTGAAGGGGGCGTGGCCTAAATGCAAATGTCCGATTGGGATTTTAAATTTTCCGGACCCCTGTTAAATCCATCAACACTTTTTGAGCGATGAAAAAACAATGATCAAATCTGAGATTCAAACCCACAATCATAGGATTCTGACATGATTTAGGGAGACAACTCTGCACAGCAATTTGTGGTATCTTAGATAACTGGGACACAGACAAATAAAGAACATTAATTTAGAATATTCTACAACATTACCAAACATCAATCCATCCTCATCCTCATTACAGAACATTTTGCTGAGAGGCACGGCATGTACGTACCTGGCCAGCCTCTCCTTGGCTTCCCGGACAGGATGGGGCAGTTTGTCATCACCAAGGTGATATATCATGGCCCACTTGGCAGCTTCTGGGAGATCGTTGTAACACATGAGCTGTTCTACCAGTTGTTCCTTCAAGAAGTCATTCTCCCCCACTGCATTCTAAAACAGTGTGAATGCATGAGTCAGGGTTTGAAACAATTACAAAACCCAACAACAGTCAGGCAGGTGACCCATAAGTGTTGCCTGCCAAATTTCAAAGTTACCTGCTGCATTCAGAGATTACATATATTGAAAAATCACAAAAAATAATATTCAGTTGAAATAATGCAACCATTCATTCCTGAGAATCTAAGAACTGAACTGTAAGTAGTATTAAAATTATCTGCCAGACAGTTGGGCAGGTGGAGTGAGTGAGTGAGTTGGGTTTAACGCCGCTTTTAACACAGTATTCCAGTTATATCACGACGTGTCAGCTTAATGTGGAAGGAAAGCCCGAAGTGATGCAGGTCTCAGACATTTACCACTTCGGTAAAACCAATGAGCACTGGTTTGGTGCTGACAAACCAAGAAACATAATGGGGGCGAACGGGTATTCGAACCCACAATCATAGGTTTCTGGCGTGCCCAAGGGACGCAACTCTGCACAGAGAATTGCCGCGCCTTAGACGACTGGGCCAGCCGTGCCCCTTTGGGCAGGTGGAGGCAAATTTCATGTAGCCTGACATGACATGCAGCAAAATAACAAGACTAACTCGCTTATTTCAGTAGTGATTTGATGCCCTCAACTTATCCACAGACAAGTAGTGACAGTAAATTTTTATAATTCACTTGCCCCGGGTGTCAGGCAATTGGGAGTTTGAAACCCCTGTACAACATGGTCTGTGTGAAGAGAAATCATCAAAACCAACTTAAGTGATGGTATGAGAAATTACTGACAAGGATATTTTGATAAAAACGCCATAAATTAATTATGTTGAGCAAGTACACCAACATAACAGGGTCATGGGTAATTGTCACTCTTTTCTCTTTGGGGCATGTGGACAAGGTGTCTGACGGATCATGGTTCTAATCCCAGCAAGAGACTCGCAAATTATATGGCCACTGTGTGATGGGGGAAATGTGATGAAATGTAAAATGAAAGAATCATGTCTTTAACTTCTTTTGAGCAGTAAAAACAAACTTTTATTGTAGGTGAATGATATGTCACTTGTCCTTGGACCAGTGAAACATTCTGCAGAGACTTATCTAGGCCTGATCAAATGACAGTAAAACATCCCATTCTAAATTAAAATTTTCCAAAAAATATATATCAATGTATATTGTACGAAAATATGAATATAAAAAAAATCCAATTTTGAACAATATCAATATTTTTTTCATAATATGCCTACCAAATCCTAGATAAAACCCTGTTGTGATATTTTTAACTCAATCTTCTAAGGCAGTGTCATGTGGACTAAATTGCTGGACAATAGCAGGCCCAATCACAGGCCAAGCCAGGGCCCCAAACACCTGACTGACCACACTGTGCTGTGCTGTGAAGGACGACAGCAGACTTACTGACACAAGTTGCACTGTGCTGGAGTGAGTGGGGGCATGGGAACTTGTGTGGTCCATAGCATGTAAGTTGATTATATATAAAACAAGACTATAACAAGGGGAATAATGCTCAATAATAATCTGTTATATCACACTACATTTGTGACATGATTTAGTGCCCCAAAAGATTTTTCACAGCAGTTGTAGAAAAACTATTAACATACGACTTCTATTGTAACATGTATTGAAAAAATGTTTCTTAATCATGACATGTTTGTGTTGTTTGGTCCCTGGAGCGGTGTAACAACCCGTAAACCCTTTATGTTTGTGTTGTCTGGTCCCTGGTGTGGTGTAACAATCTGTAAACCCTTTATGTTTGTGTTGTCTGGTCCCTGGTGTGGTGTAACAACCCGTAAACCCTTTATGTTTGTGTTGTCTGGTCCCTGGTGTGGTGTAACAATCTGTAAACCCTTTATGTTTGTGTTGTCTGGTCCCTGGAGCGGTGTAACAACCCGTAAACCCTTTATGTTTGTGTTGTCTGGTCCCTGGTGTGGTGTAACAATCTGTAAACCCTTTATGTTTGTGTTGTTTGGTCCCTGGAGCGGTGTAACAACCCGTAAACCCTTTATGTTTGTGTTGTCTGGTCCCTGGTGTGGTGTAACAATCTGTAAACCCTTTATGTTTGTGTTGTCTGGTCCCTGGTGTGGTGTAACAACCCGTAAACCCTTTATGTTTGTCTTGTCTGGTCCCTGGTGTGGTGTAACAACCCGTAAACCATTTATGTTTGTGTTGTCTGGTCCCTGGTGTGATGTAACAATCTGTAAACCCTTTATGTTTGTGTTGTCTGGTCCCTGGTGTGATGTAACAATCTGTAAACCCTTTATGTTTGTCTTGTCTGGTCCCTGGTGTGGTGTAACAACCCGTAAACCCTTTATGTTTGTGTTGTCTGGTCCCTGGTGTGATGTAACAATCTGTAAACCCTTTATGTTTGTGTTGTCTGGTCCCTGGTGTGGTGTAACAATCTGTAAACCCTTTATGTTTGTGTTGTTTGGTCCCTGGAGCGGTGTAACAACCCGTAAACCCTTTATGTTTGTGTTGTCTGGTCCCTGGTGTGGTGTAACAATCTGTAAACCCTTTATGTTTGTGTTGTCTGGTCCCTGGTGTAGTGTAACAACCCGTAAACCCTTTATGTTTGTGTTGTCTGGTCCCTGGTGTGGTGTAACAACCCGTAAACCCTTTATGTTTGTCTTGTCTGGTCCCTGGTGTGGTGTAACAACCCGTAAACCATTTATGTTTGTGTTGTCTGGTCCCTGGTGTGATGTAACAATCTGTAAACCCTTTATGTTTGTGTTGTCTGGTCCCTGGTGTGATGTAACAATCTGTAAACCCTTTATGTTTGTCTTGTCTGGTCCCTGGTGTGGTGTAACAACCCGTAAACCCTTTATGTTTGTGTTGTCTGGTCCCTGGTGTGATGTAACAATCTGTAAACCCTTTATGTTTGTGTTGTCTGGTCCCTGGTGTGATGTAACAATCTGTAAACCCTTTATGTTTGTGTTGTCTGGTCCCTGGTGTGATGTAACTACCTGTAAACCCTTTATGTTTGTGTTGTCTGGTCCCTGGTGTGATGTAACAACCCGTAAACCCTTTATGTTTGTCTTGTCTGGTCCCTGGTGTGATGTAACAATCTGTAAACCCTTTATGTTTGTGTTGTCTGGTCCCTGGTGTGGTGTAACTACCTCTAAACCCTTTATGTTTGTGTTGTCTGGTCCCTGGTGTGATGTAACAATCTGTAAACCCTTAATGTTTGTGTTTTCTGGTCCCAGGTGTGGTGTAACAATCTGTAAACCCTTTATGTTTGTGTTGTCTGGTCCCTGGTGTGGTGTAACAATCTGTAAACCCTTTATGTTTGTGTTGTCTGGTCCCTGGTGTGATGTAACAACCCGTAAACCCTTTATGTTTGTGTTGTCTGGTCCCTGGTGTGGTGTAACTACCTGTAAACCCTTTATGTTTGTGTTGTCTAGTCCCTGGTGTGGTGTAACAACCGGTAAACCCTTTATGTTTGTGTTGTCTGGTCCCTGGTGTGGTGTAACTACCCGTAAACCCTTTATGTTTGTGTTGTCTGGTCCCTGGTGTGGTGTAACAATCTGTAAACCCTTTATGTTTGTGTTGTCTGGTCCCTGGTGTGGTGTAACAACCTGTAAACCCTTTATGTTTGTGTTGTCTGGTCCCAGGTGTGGTGTAACAATCTGTAAACCCTTTATGTTTGTGTTGTCTGGTCCCTGGTGTGGTGTAACTACCCGTAAACCCTTTATGTTTGTGTTGTCTGGTCCCTGGTGTGGTGTAACAATCTGTAAACCCTTTATGTTTGTGTTGTCTGGTCCCTGGTGTGGTGTAACAACCTGTAAACCCTTTATGTTTGTGTTGTCTGGTCCCAGGTGTGGTGTAACAATCTGTAAACCCTTTATGTTTGTGTTGTCTGGTCCCTGGTGTGGTGTAACTACCCGTAAACCCTTTATGTTTGTGTTGTCTGGTCCCTGTTGTGGTGTAACAATCTGTAAACCCTTAATGTTTGTGTTGTCTGGTCCCTGGTGTGATGTAACAATCTGTAAACCCTTAATGTTTGTGTTGTCTGGTCCCTGGTGTGATGTAACAACCGGTAAACCCTTTATGTTTGTGTTGTCTGGTCCCTGGTGTGATGTAACAACCCGTAAACCCTTTATGTTTGTGTTGTCTGGTCCCTGGTGTGATGTAACAATCTGTAAACCCTTTATGTTTGTGTTGTCTGGTCCCTGTTGTGATGTAACAATCTGTAAACCATTTATGTCTGTGTTGTCTGGTCCCTGGTGTGATGTAACAACCCGTAAACCCTTTATGTTTGTGCTGTCTGGTCCCAGGTGTGGTGTAACAATCTGTAAACCCTTTATGTTTGTCTTGTCTGGTCCCTGGTGTGATGTAACAACTCGTAAACCCTTTATGTTTGTGTTGTCTGGTCCCTGGTGTGGTGTAACAACCTGTAAACCCTCAATGTTTGTGTTGTCTGGTCCCTGGTGTGATGTAACAATCTGTAAACCCTTAATGTTTGTGTTTTCTGGTCCCTGGTGTGGTGTAACAATCTGTAAACCCTTTATGTTTGTGTTGTCTGGTCCCTGGTGTGGTGTAACAACCCGTAAACCCTTTATGTTTGTGTTGTCTGGTCCCTGGTGTGGTGTAACAACCCGTAAACCCTTTATGTTTGTGTTGTCTGGTCCCTGGTGTGGTGTAACAACCCGTAAACCCTTTATGTTTGTGTTGTCTGGTCCCTGGTGTGGTGTAACAATCTGTAAACCCTTAATGTTTGTGTTGTCTGGTTCCTGGTGTGGTGTAACAACCCGTAAACCCTTAATGTTTGTGTTGTCTGGTCCCTGGTGTGGTGTAACAACCTGTAAACCCTTAATGTTTGTGTTGTCTGGTTCCTGGTGTGGTGTAACTACCCGTAAACCCTCAATGTTTGTGTTGTCTGGTCCCTGGTGTGGTGTAACAACCCATAAACCATTTATGTTTGTGTTGTCTGGTCCCTGGTGTGGTGTAACAACCCGTAAACCATTTGTCTGTGTTCTCTGGTCCCTGGTTAGGGTTGTAACTGGGGCATATTAGAGATCCAAACCCACCTCAGACAACTTCGACACGCTTTATGAAAACTGGAAGGCAAACATGAATTACCCACCTTCACCATTTCGTCCCAGCTACCAGATCCAAACGTTTTCTGTAACAGAAACAAGATATACATATTGGACCCACATCAATCAAATCTGGACCAGACACTCTAGTGATTGACAACATGAGCATCAATCCATGCAATTGACATGCATCAACCAAGTCAGCAATCCCGTTAGTCGCCTCTTACGACAAACATAGAAGACTATTTGAGTGAGTGTGAATGGGTTGGGTTTAACGCCACTTTTAACAGTATTCCAGTTATATCACGGCGTGTCAGCTTAATGTGTGAGGAAAGCCCGAAGTGATACAGGTCTTAGACCTTTAACGCTTCGGTGAAACCCACGAGCACGGGTATGGTGCTGACAAACCTAGAAACATAATTAGGGCAAACCAGGATTCGAACCCACAATCATAGGTTTCTGGCATGGCCAAGGGACGCAACTCTGCAAGCGAATCGTGGCACCTTAGACGACTGGGCCACCCATGCCCCTGAAGACTGAACCAGTGGCACCAAATATACTGGGTTGGAAATTAATGCTACCCTTCTGGCACATTCCAACCTGGAATCTCCACAGAGGATTCCAACATGAGGCAGGACCCAATACTTGACACTCTGGAAACACTAGACACCAAATGATGGTGTTAATACCTGGAACAAATGCATATTCAAAATGGTAAACCATTATTCATTGTACACATCAATTACTTTACGACTACAAAAAACTCCGCATCTCACCTCTATGTATCTTTTGTACATCAGGTATTTAAGAGCTCCAACACCTCGGGCATTGGAAATGTTCGGACAGTGCTCTGAAAGGAAAAGTTCAAAGCATGAATATTGCAAAATGAAAAGGTTGGTTGGTTTGTTGTTTAACGCCGCACTCAGCAATATTCCAGCTCTATGACGGCGGTCTGTAAATAATCGAATCTGGACCAGACAATCCAGAGTTTGATATCATGAGCATCGATCCACGCAATTGGGATGGATGACATGCATCAACCAAGTCAGCAAGCCTGACCACCCGATCCCCAAAGTCGCCTCTTACGACAAGCATAGTCGCCTTTTTACGGCAAGCATGGGTTGCTGAAGACCTATTCTACCCCTGATGTTGGAATTATCTCCCCTGAGTGTCTTTCATATGAAATATGTCAACAGGAGTCAATAAAGGTTAAAACTCAAAGACTTACCAAGGATTTTAGAACTTTTATTAACAGATGTGTGGATATATTGATCATGTTGATATGAAAAGACATGATGGTGAGATTCTATCTATCATCCAAACTCATTCCTCCAACCTTTTCAGTTTGTAAACAGTAATAACCAATGTCTTGTGTGTAGAAAGTACAGCTGCTTTAGTGGCAGAAGGATTAGTGATGTCATTTGATTGTGACATCATTGTCACCGATGATGTCACAATGTATGGATAAGAATTTATGGATGAACGTCTTTATTACGATTTGTTGGATGAAGTTGTTTATCCATAAATTCTTATCCTTACTTAGTACTCCAACTTCTAAATACCAATCAAAGAAGATGTCACAATGGTCTACAAAGCATTTTGATTCAATTTCAGTACGACTTTTCAAGCGGAAACCAGTTTTGGATGATATGACAAAATAGTGTTCAGGACCTTTAGGTGTACACAGAGTGAGTGAGTGAGTTACAGGCTCTCACTTCTATTCTTGTCATATTATACACAGAGATGAAGCGTATCAATTATATACCTTCAGAGCGGTATTTAGCTTTCATGACGATTTGAGGGCGGTCGGGTGGCCTAGTGGTTACTGCATTTGCTAGTCACGCTGAAGACCAAGGTTCGATTCCCGACATGGGTTCAATGTGTGAAGCCCATTTCTGGTGTCCCCTGCCGTGATATTGCTAGAATATTGCTAAAAGCGGCATAAAACCAAACTCACTCACTCTCTCATGCCGATTTGAACAGTATTTCAGAAAAGTAAGGATACACTATATGGATGAACAAATTCTTTATTACAATTAGGAGTGATGTTTCGATGTGGGTTCTAACTCGGTTATCAAGCAAGTACTTTGTACTCCAACTTCTACGTGCTTCTTAAAGAAGTACTTCCGTTATATTACGGCATGTCAACTCGCACATCAGCCAAAAGTAATGCAGGTCTGTTTAACACTACAGTGCAGTAGTGAATACAATGAGCACATATGTCATGACAAACCAATCAATATTAGAGCACGTCTGGAAGTAAAGCCCACAATCATAGGATCATCGTACAGCAAAGGGAAGTAACTCTGCACATCAAACTGAGGATGTACCTTGTGGGATCTGGTACAGTTTCATCAGTCGGACAGCCAGCTTACTGAGCGTCTTTTTCTGAAGCTTGTCTCTCTTCACATTCTGAACCCCGGCCGACCTGAAACACCAGACAGTCGAACCCTGTTTATACAGCCAGCAATGATCCTTGTGAAGTCATCCAGATTAGCAACTTTTGGAATTCATTATAATAAGTTCATTAAATGTTGCATGGGATATGCATAGATACTGGTGAGGTGAGGTGAAATTAGGTTTAACGTTGCGTCCAAGATTATTGCACTTATATAGCGATGTGCATGCACGTGTATGTGTGTGTGTGTGTGTGGCTGCTTGTACTAGTCCGGACTGATGCCGATTTATAGTGCTAGCTCACTGAGATACCATGCCGCAGTTTAACATGAATACCCCACTCAGACACAGTATACTGACTCCAAGCCGACCAGTCCTTGTTTTAGCCCCTTAATGCCGAGCGCCAGACAGGGTAACAACAAGTACAATCTTTTAACGTCTTTTTGTATGACGCGGCCCGGGATCGAACCCTGGACCTTCCGCTCTCCGGGCAGACGCTCTACCACAAGACCACGGAGGCGGTCACGTAGATACTGACATAATCATACAACAATGTAGTCAGTGCCAAACCCTCGAGTCTCCTTGCTCCAACTTGTAATAATTGGTTAATATGAAGTTTACACGGTTTACAGCTTTTCCATTGGACGAGAGGTCAGTCACGTGACCGCGAAATTGACGCTCATAAGTGTATGAACAACACAAATTGATATTCATACGTTTTTCACGAGACCGTATTCTTGAAATAACGAAAACACTGACAGGACTACTTACACATTCCTAGGGAAACCCCTAGGAATTCCCAAGCATGAATACATGCCAAAGTGTTGTTTCTAATCATTTAGACCCTTTAATCTCAAACTCAATGTTTTAGCATACATTGAGAAGCATCAGAGTTTTACTGCATGATCTTATACAAATATCCTTGCTACGACCAATCCCAGTGAACAAAAAGGAAGAAATGCACATCCGAACTATCGTAGTATCAACTCGATCCGTGTCTAGACTGACAGTGACAGTCTACAGCAATCAATGAATGTAACTTAGTATCTATTTGACACATCTTAAAAAAATCACCTTTTAATGATCGGCCAATTGATCAATGATGACTAACACTTGTAACTGGCACAGGTTCATAAATAACTTCGGAAATCTCTCCCGTCCAATTATCGTGTCGGCCATTTTGACGTCTTGTACTTGACGTCTGTGTATTACGAAGCGTTGTCATTCTGACTGACTTACTGAGGTGATTCTTTCTCATCCAATGATGATATTACTTGAATACATTTGTTACTGAAGAGCAAAGTTGAGCATACACACGCTCGCGTCACCTCTCTTTTTGAGGAACTATTGTATTCCACGACACAACTGGTTGTTGTATGGCTGTCAGTGTAAACATGAAGTACTGAATAAAATTGTGTATAATTCTAGGCCTCTATCCTTCGAGGTAAAGAATAGTGATATTAAAAAAAACTGCTATGCAGTACTAGACGGTTCTTGGGTTGGTTAATTTCCATCCGTGTGTTCACTTTCTTTATGCCTGGGATCCAAACCATTGTTCCAGAGCTCCAGATTATGTTCTCAGTCATTCACATTGGGTATTCTCTTGATATTCAATATTGTGTTTATTGCCATGAATCCTTTGATGGGTGACTGCGTTTTGGCTGCTTGGCGCCAGAGAGTTTCTAGAGCTTCGGTTCGACCCAACACTGATGCACATGGCGAGTAACTTTGTTCGAAAAGTGCATCTATGTACCCAGCAGTGAATGGGTACCCGGAAGGATGAGATGGCAATGTGGTTGTTAACCTTCTACTGCCGAACAGGCAGCTTTGGTTGTACACTCCCCAGGGAGCTGAGAATGATTCTTGAGTGCACATTGATCTAGTGACCGGGCTGATCATAGTGCTTTGAGCATGCCCCGGAGAGGTGTGGAAATAAGCACAATATAAAGTCTATTATTATTATTGTCATTATTATTATTATTATTATTATTATTATTAGGGCTCCAAGCCGAAAGGCTGTAGAGCCCTATTGTAATCGTTCGATTTATTATTATTATTATTATTTATTATTATTATTATTATTTATTATTCCGCCGATTTTTGTACCTGCCCTAGCAAAATAACCACCGGCTCGATTTTGTTCAAATTTTGTGGGTGTTTGTAGACCGTTGGGTACTAGTGCCCGCCAAAAACCCTAGGGCGTAGGCCGAAAGGCCAAGGGCAGATAACTGAAAAACAAGTATTTTTTGAAGATGTATTTCGCCCTATTGCTCCGCAACCGCTTATCCGATTACTTTGAAACCTTGCATGTATCTGCTGCTTTAGTTCTTTGATATTTTTTGTTCTTTGACTTTGGTCATTGATCACGTGGTTTGGCAGCCATATTGGATTCAAGGTTTTCACAGGGTTTTGGGGGTACCTGTCTTCAAATACTATCTCCTCTGAATCCACTGCATGAAATGCTTTCAAACTTTCTGAGAATTGTCTCCATACAGAACACAACAAATAAGCATAGCCGTTTTGGGATATCTTTTTTAGTTGCGGTCATATTGGATTTTGATTTTGATCATTTTTTTCACCGAAATGTTACTTTTAAGATCATAACTTGTAAGGTTCTTAACAGAAACTATTGAAAGTTTGCATGAAGCTTTGAGACTATATGTAGCTCATTTTGTTCTGGGTTGCATACTGAAAGCACCACTGCTTGGTGTAGTATTATTTGATTTAAGTTAAAAATCAGACTTGAGTACAAATACTGAAGGAAGCGCCTCATAAATCTACCAAACACCCCCATTCACTGGCTTTGCAAGCGTTCTCCACAGTCTTGTTCAGTATTATGTGTACTACCATTGACGACCAGGATTAGAATTGGCCTTTTTCAACCGATGCTTGTCTCAAGAGGCAACTATGCTTGTCACAGGAGGCGACTAATCGGATCGGGTGGTCAGACTCGCTGACTTGGTTCTTCATTTCTCAATTGCCAATTGCTACGGTACCTTATTTTTGACAGCGTTGTTAAAAGCAAACCATTTGCAAACCATTTGCGGATTAGAATATGGAGGTCGGCATTTAGTCCACTCTGGGAAACTGTGGCACACGCCAATTTGGTAGCGGCAATGGCCTGCAAACGTGGACTATCTTTTGATGGAGTTGGTACAAGCAAACCATGTGCGGATTCGAACATGGTCGAAGTCAAACATTGGTTAAGAATACACTGGGACACATGTCATGATGTCTCACAAGCGGTTTATTACATTTAACGGCGTTGGTACAAGCAAACCATTTCGGGATTCGAACATGGTCGAAGTCAAACATGGGTTAAGAATACACTGGGACACATGTCATGATGTCTCACAAGCGGTTTATTACATTTAACGGCGTTGGTACAACCAAACCATTTGGGGATTCGAACATGGTCGAAGTCAAACGTGGGTTAAGAACACACTGGGACACGTGTGGTGATGTCTCACCAGCGGTTCATTACATTTGATGGCGTTGGTACAAGCAAACCATATGCGGATTCGAACATGGTCGAAGTCAAACATGGGTTAAGAACACACTAGGACACGCGTGGTGATGTCTCGCAAGCGGTTCCTTACATATGATGGCGTTGGTACAAGCAAACCATTTGAGGATTCGAACATGGTCGAAGTTGGAAATTGGTTAAAACATCCTGGGACACCCAAGCACATGTCAATTTAGTAGTGGTGATGTCTCACAAGAGGTTCCTTACATTTGACGGCGTTGGTACAGGTAAACTCTTTGAGGATTCGAATATGAACGATGTCGGAAACAAGTTTAGCACGACAGGAACCCGGGGTCCGGACGAACGCAGAACGCTAATCCGTTTGACTGGAGCCCAACTGACAAAGAAGTTACAGCCTGTTAAAGAGTCCCCAAGCCGTAAGGCTGAAGAGCCCCAGTGTTAGCGTTTGATTTAATATTATTATTATTCCGCCGATTTTTGTACCAGAGCTAGCAAAATAACCACTGGCTCGATTTTGTTCAAATTTTGTATGTGTATGAAGACCGTTGGGTACTAGTGCCCGCCAAAAACCCAAGGCCGTAGGCCCAAAAGCCAAGGGCAGATAACTAAAAATCAAGACGTTTTTAAAGATGCATTTCGCCCTATTGCTCCGCAACCGCTTATCAGATTACTTTGAAAACTTGCATGTATCTGCTGCTTGAGCTGCTTGACATATTTTGTTCTTTGACTTTGGTCATTGGTCAAATGGTTTGGCAGCCATATTGGATTCAAGGTTTTCACAGTGTCTTTTGGGTACCTGTCTTCAAACGCAAACAACTCCGAGTCCACTGCATGAAATGCTTCCAAATTTTCTGAGAATTGTCTCCACACACAACACAGCAAACTCTCATAGCCGTTTTGGGATATCTGTTTTAGTTGCGGTTGTATTGGATTTTGATTTTGATAAAAAAAATTACCGAAATTTTACTTTAAAGATCATATCTTGTTAGCTTGTTGACAGAAACTATTGCAAGTTTACATGAAGTTAGGTATCATATGCATCTTATTTTCTGTTCTTGGGTGCATGGAAAAAGTAACAACACTTGGTGGTAATATTTGATTAGAATTTGGGACACCCCTGGAACACGCCAATGTCCTTCAAACGGTGACTATCTTTTGACAGAGTTGGTACAAACAAACCCTTTGAGGATTCGAATATGTTTGATGTCGGAAATGGGTTTAAAACAGACTTAGCACACGCCAATTTCGTAGCGGCAATACCCTGCAAGTTGTGCCTACATGTGACGGATTTGGTTCAAGGAAACCCTTTAAGGATTCGAACATGGACGTTTGTGCACAGTGTAACTTGGAGCCCGCCATTGCTGCTTGCAGCTTTAATTATTATTATTATTATTATAGGGTATTTTTACACCGCTGAGTGGAGATTTGGAAAAAAATAACAACTCTGCTTAAAATGCCTTTACAGTTGACTTCTAATTTGTATCTGTTGCCTAAAATCAAAACAGGTGAGGTGAGGTGAGATTAAACTGGGTTTAACATTGCGTCCAAGATTATTGCACTTATATAGTGACGTGCATGCATGTCTGTGTGTGTGTTTCTGCTTGTACGAGTCCGGACTGATGCCGATTTTATAGTGCTAGCTCACTGAGATACCATGCCTCAGTTTAACATGAACACCCCACTCAGACACAGTATACTGACTCTAAGCCAACCAGTCCTTGTTTTAGCCCCTTAATTGTTAATGCCGAGCGTCAAACAGGGTAACAAAAAGTAGCATCTTTTAACGTCTATTGGTATGACGCAGACGGGGATCGAAGCCTGGACCTTCCGCTCTCCGAGCAGACACTCTACCACTACACCACGGAGGCGGTCTCAATCCTTCTCACAACAGTGATGCACATTTTCATGCATTTTTCACCACAGTAGACTTCATATACATGTGAAGCCTGTAAACAAATTCAGCGACACAAGTTTGAATCCGTGTGACCTACTCGATGACCCTGTTGATGTCCGTCTCTCGGTCACACAGGTGGTCCAGCAGCTGTACCACAGCCTTCTGTTGCTCGGGATTACCGATCACGTACGACTCCACCAGGTTGACCTTGTCCTGGAGAAGCAGCGGAAGTATTATCTGCAACCAGAGAGTCAGAGTGTTGCAGCGTCTCCCATCTTGAACAGAAACTCAGTGATCAGGGACAAGGATTGATTAACAAGTTTGTGGTCACTAAAATTTCCCCTGTATTTGGGTATAGCTTGTGAGCACATCCAACATATTTCTGATTGACCATGTTGACCCGGGCAGAATCAAATGTTCAGGACAGGAATACCAGCGATTGATATTGTGAGCAACAATCCATGTCACCGTGTTACAATGAGACGTCATCAACTAGACCACCCAATCCAGTACGTCCCCTCTATTGAGTGAGTTGGGTTTAATGCCGCTTTCACAGTATTCCAGTTATATCACGGTGTGTCAGCTTAATGTGGGAGGAAAGCCCAAAGTGATGCAGGTGTCAGAGGTTTGCCACTTCAGTGAAACCCATGAGCACGGGTGTGGTACTGATAAACCTAGAAACATAATTCGGGGCGAACAGGGATTTGAACCCACAATCATAGGTTTCTGGCGTACCCAAGGGACGCAACTCTGCACAGAGAATTGCGGCGCCTTAGATGCCTCAGACCACTGTGCCACCTGTGCCCCCACGTCCCCTTGAAAGACCAGCGTAGGTTGTTGGGGACCTATTCTACATGTTCTAACCCGGAATGCCCACTGGGTTGGAAGCAAATGAGTCCAGTGTATTTTTCCTAATGGATGGAGATAAAACACCCTGTATTGTCGAGGATGGAGTGTTTACCTCTTCCATGGAGAAGTGTCCCTGCAATCCCAGCTTCCCAGCACAGTGACAGGCCTGCAAAGATAGGGCAACAAATTCAGGTGATGTGAAAAAAAACAATTAAACACATGTTGAGGGGGAGAATTTGTAATAAATGTTAAGTTTTACATTGCTATCAATCATGCTGATGTAGCAAAACTATATCATTAGGTGAAGTGAAATTGGGTTTAATGCCATGCCATGATTAAGTGAGAGAGTGAGTTGGATTTTACACCGCTTTTGGCAATATTCCAGCAACATCATGGCAGGGGACACCTGAAATGGGTTTCACACATTGTACCCATGTGTGGAATCGAACCCGGGCCTTCAGCTTGATGAGCTAACGCTTTAACTACTAGACTACCCAACCGCCCTGATCATGATCAATATTATTTTACATACAAAGCAATGCGTGTATGTACTTGGCAAGGAAATTGGGAAAAGACTGTCATTTTGTTCAAAAGTTTGTAAGTTCTGCATGCTAAAAGGTGTCATTTAACATGGTATTTTTTTACATAATGTGAAACCAATCATTAAAAGCCACTTCATTTTTATTGTCTCATTAACATTGTTAAGTCAGGTGAACAGGAACACAAGTCAGATGAACTTACCTCTTTGTGTTTTCCTTTCTCCAAGAACTTTTTAATTTCGGGAAGAAAATAGTCATTTCCTATGTGTCTGAGCTTAAATGCTTTCACGGCCATATCAAACAATGTCATGTGACGTTCTGTGGCCATGAGGAAGGCGTGAAACCGAATATCCTGTGTCAACAGATCGTCCATTTTATTCTTGGTATGTCTGGTCCATCGCTCAAACTCTTTCATGATATAGAACGAGAGTGTTGTAGTTTTACCTGTGTAGAAGTCTCGACATCGCTCGATCATATATATACACACTGTATAAGGATTGGATGCCGCTCCAAAGTGACGGGTCAGCATTTCCGACACCTGAGAATTAACTGCTGCCCTGTTCGCATTGGCTTCATCAAACCATTTGACTTCAATGTGGTCAAGCCATTCTTTCATTTGATTGGTCGTTGTCTGAGCTGGTTTGTTCATGGCGTTCAGCAGCCAGGTGGAAGCGTTTGGGTTCGCTTTGCGAATTTCTGTAAAATTTGTAGGAGCTTCTGCCATTTTAGGTTCTTGTGTGGTATGGATTAATTCTGATGACTTGTTGCAATAGTGGGCAGGTCTCTTCTTGTTTTCCTTTCTTCCAACACAGACAGATTTAACTGAAATGAGAACCGTTGCCTGTAATTTGGCGGCAGAAAATAAGATTAAATAGCATACACAGTGTACTAATAGAAATCATCCTTCATTTTCAGCTTGTCATTCTTCTGTATCATGATACACATCATATCATGATCTCTATCTTTGTGTATCATTCCAAAAAAGTACAATATTCAATATCCCTGTGAGGTTTTTCTGCATAAATATGCTTGTATGAAGTGACTTCCTGTATCATCATTTTCTTATTTTTGTTGTTGTTTAACACTGCACTCCGTAATATTCCCAATATGTAATGGAAGTCTGCAAATAATAGAGCCTTGACAAGACAATCCAGTGATTGCAATTATGAGCATCGACGTACACAATTATGATACAATGACATACATCTAGGCTACCAAGTCAGCGAGTCTGACTACCCGACCTCGTTAGTCGTCTCATACAACAAGCACCTGAAGACCAATTCTAACCCGCATCTTCATGGTATCAAGCGGCTTGGTACCTTGGTTGACTGTGGATCATGGCATATTTTATTAATGACTGGACTGTCTGGTCCACACTCTTGGTCTGCGCTGCGTTAAACAACAAACATTGATTTAACAGCGTGTTTGTCTCTAAAACATGTACAGTCGGTTTAAAAGATTGTACAGCTGTCCAAATACACAAGGATCCCGTATTACCTTTACACTTCTGTCGATGGCAACACAGAGGAGTGCAATCGTCCACAGAAACACTGTTTAAAGTTCTACATGACCTGGTGTGGTTTTCAACAATAATTGGTTTCACTTTCTCTTCACACAGTTCGACTTGCACGGCCTTATCTGCAGTATCTTTACGAGTTATGGAATAAATAAAATACCGAATTACTATCCAAAGACCTGACACAATCACAAACATATCATTGAACGGCAAATGTTGCGGGGACTATATGACATTCATCATGCAACTCTTAGAAATAACCATGTGAAACAAACTCGGTTAACTTAAAAATGTGTCGATGAAAATCTTACGAAATATGCACTATATAACGTCAATGTATTTGATGTTTGAATCCCGATTATGTTATGAGAATTGTCTGTGTATTTGATGTGATGTGTCTTTTTTCATTCGTGCACATTTTGAGATAATTAACAAAATTGTTGTTTCCCGTGATCTCAGCAAGATCTAAATATCACTTTTTATATATGTTTAAAAAAACTAATTATATATACACAAACCGAACTATATGTATTACATGATAAGTTCCTTTGATTTATCTATTTACTTTAAATAAATTTGATAATTGTGCACACAAATGTTTATGTATAAAATTAAGAAGAATATACGATAAAGTTAAACGTAACATGTTCTTCGAATAAATATATTATGCCGATTGAAACTAGTTCGGTTTCTACTGGTACATATTAACTTCCGGGTCCACGTTTCCGTTTCCGAAAATTGTGGATTTTGGAAAACACGTAAATGAACACGGTATTTTGAATTCATGATTTTGTGTTTAATTAAGTATGGTTAATGTTCAATTATCGCGTATGTTAGGTAGTATGTGTATGTGTTTTGTCAGTGGAAAAAATTTAACTGTGTATATCGGAACTGAAATCTATTAAACAGTCTAGGGTCCAGAAAAGCTTTTCTGATGAAATATAGAATCATGTCGATCCCCAGTGTTCATTGATTAGAACACAGAAGACATAGATAAGAGCGGCTAGGCTCAGGCCAATTTGCTGTCCCTGAATTTTTAATTGAAGGCTACAACAATGTTTGTCTGCCAACTCAAATTTAATGACATGTACATCCTGCAGGGCTAGATGAGGTTAGATCTATAGCTAAAACGGCACCTCAGCAAAACGTCACCGAGCGAAAATGGCACCGATTGGCGAAAAGTTAACCTCGCCTAAAGCGATCACGGCTCCTTTTGCCAGGCGAAGCCGTCACCTTATTTATTTTTTTACCTTGGTACTGTAATAAATGAAATTAAACTCACATGGTTACCTACAAACACCAATAATTGTGAAATGTTAACACAAGTTTACATTAGAACTTAGCCTCAACTCCAATCCGACTCTGATTGGGAGGCGCAACAAAACTTATTATGAAAACATAGCATGCTTTGGAATTTTAAGTACCTTTACTCAAATTAACTGCGTGTCAAGCTGAAACTGTATATAAGACCACTAAAGTAGTGCTGTCAGATCACAATTAGTGTGGTCATACAGTTGGACGACGCCTTTAAGGAAGGTGAGGTCAAATGGGGTTTAACGTCACATCCAAGACTATTGCACTTATATAGCGACTGCATGCATGAGTGTGTGTGTGGCTGCTTGTACTAGTCCGGACTGATGCCGATTTCTAGTGGTAGCTCACTGAGATGCCATGCCGCAGTTGCACATGAATATCCGACTCAGACACAGTATACTGACTCTGAGCCGACCAGTCCTTGTTTTAGTGACAACAAGTATTTAAGGAAGGGAAATACCGCTGCTAATACAACGTAATATAATAGTGCATGTAAAAAATGCATATTTACAACTACATTGATAGATATAATAATAAATGGAGGTGTCGTTTTCGCCCGCCATGTAGTAGCCGTTTCGCAAGATGAGGTGCCGTTTTCGCCTGAGAAATCTGTGATGTTTTGCTGAGGTGCTGTTTTAGCCTGCACCCGGCTTTGTTAACTAGTAGTTGAAAACTTAATGATCACCCTTATTTGGTCATACTAGCAACCGTCTGGGGCTGCCAGGTGATGATAATCTACCATCCATGACGAGACACTAACATGGTAATGAAGTCATTGTCATTGTGATGTTCTTTTCTGAAAATTAGTGTTGGTAAGTTTTAAAGGGGCACTGATCTAACGCAATTCCCCGGGACTGGTTGTTGCCTTTGTTATTGTTTTTTCCCAGTGAGTACCCGGATGTATAGCAGAAATCTAGACTAGTTCGCGACCTCTGCTGCGCCATTCGTAAGCGCATTAGTCGCTTTTATGGGTAGTAATAAGGGCGTATGGTCACATTGATGAACAAAATGAAATACAGTTTTCGAGATAATAAGGAAATGTAGGTATCTTTGTGGGTAGCATCGGTAATGGTGACGAAGTTTTGATAAGTCACTTGCTTGGTAATTTTGCGATTTTCGTTTACACTATTTTGACTTGCAACACAAAGTACATATTTCACCTGAGCATTGCTTTTTTTATAGTGTGTATTTTTTTTTACTGTCAAATGTGTAACAAATTTATTAAACGTCTAAATATTCAGTTATTTTACAAAGTGACTGAAACACATTTCCATCTGTATTATTATGATAACGAATTCCAAACATTTTGATGTTTAATGTCATCACCAAGAGACTGAAAATGTAACGTTGAGGAAAGTACATTTCTATGTTGTTTGGCTTCTAATCCTACATAATAATCTGTTGTGATGTTTGTAGGCCCTTTTGATCGTCTTAATCAATCTGGACAGATTTTTTAGTCAAAAAGACTGAAATATTTACACATTTTATAAATTGCCTGAGAGAATCACATTTTACAAATTGACGGTAATATATACACGCTTACAAAGGAAAAGACATGTGAAAACAACGTTTATCGCGCATTGAAGAATTTCCCAACGTAGAGAAACAAGAACGAATCGGTTCAAATGAAGGAAAACAAAATGCAAATATCATAGTTACAACCTACCAAATTTATGTGTATAAATTTTAGGCAGCGTCCTTGTTCGAGGAATGTATCCGTGAATATCCACACAAATGAACAATATCCCACTCGTCTGCAGATGTACAAAGAAACTTATTCGATGTCACGTGTCTCAGTAACAATCAAATATTTTAAAAGATATATGTCGTTTCGGGATATTATAACCCGTGTTCGTTTCTCAACTGATCACTTGGATTGTTTCAGGTGTTTTACATAGGTGTCAAGTCTCAAGGGTCAGCTGAGAAAGCCCACGTGACAACTATTTTCATAACGTTCACGGTTCCTAAAAAATCCATTGAGTGATAGATAACAATGATCAATCAATCAACGTATTATAAGTTAACCCTTTGAACAAAGTATGTTGTTTTTACATCGGCACTTCACGCCATGGTATGAGTGTATTCCCTTTGTTTTAGTAAACCTAGACATGTAAACACTCACTCTTGACATATCCACTGTGCAAGATAACAGTGATTAATCAATCAACGTATTTTCTGTTAATCCTTTGATGACTAGGAACGTTCCGTTGATTTACAAAAAAATAAATCAACTGATCATTCATCTCTTGCTGGGCTGCCACGTGCATATTACATAACACGCATTTCACCTCACTTCAAACCTGGATTTAGATTGAATAATTACCCCAGACACAATAAATGCCAAATGGGAACCTTTGTCGGGTAATCTAAGTGGTGCTACCACTAATTGTACCTGTAATAAATTCATTAACTGAGCATCAAGTGAATGACGACAAATACACAAGTGAAGGGTTATACGAGAAAACGTGGATGTCAACAAGGGAGTAGTAATCGTATTATCGAAATCCGAAAATGCTTTCACTGCATGGATACTTTTTTTAGTATAAAACTAAAACCATCTGGGGTATTTCCAAATGACGACATCCGATGAGCTCCGCTGTTCTTTGTGTCTGCTTGTTTAGGCTGAAGAAATTAATTAACATGCGCCCTTTGTCGAAATCTGTATAGGTCACAGTTAACCAATCAGTGTTTATGCAAAATGCGTTAAACAAATATTGCCTCCAGTCTCCAAGTTTATATAGCTGTCCTTGCAGACGGTAGTCCAGTGTCTGGTCACGCTCAGTTGCGTTGCGTATCATCCGGGTACTCACGGGGGAAAAAAACAATAACAAAGGCAACAACCGGGGAATTGCGTTAGATCAGTGCCCCTTTAAGTATAATAAACTTTGTTTCCCAAAATAAGCTGAAATGAAATTGCAGCTCTGAAATGAATGGTCACCTTTGGAATTTTAATAATAGTTTGACAAAGTTCAAACCACATAGGTCCCTATAATATATTGACAGTATAAAGTTATAAGGTAAGTAGTTCAATACAATGCCTATGGCAATGTAGACATGGTCAATCATAGAGATTATATAATGCCGTAAACGATCCAGAAATTCTATTTCCATGCATAATACAGATCTGTTAATAGATATATAGATGATAGGCCCTATTTTACTCTTTTGAAGTTGATATTGTCATGAGTAGTGTAGATGGATTATGCTTGATTATTGCGTGACGACTGCACACAGCTACCACAACCCATCTTCCCGAGGCAAAAGAGTTAACTGTCTTTATAAGTCCAGTTTCCACCCTTGCCGAACTAGGCTGGAATTCCTGGGCTTGATCGTGGCGCCACCAGTGGCTATTACCAGTTATGTCCCTTCTAAGCCTTTCCTATGGACCAATCAGATTCCATCACTTGCGTTTGTTTCACACAAAATGGTGGCGCCCAGTCAGGACGATCTGATCGATGATCAAGTTCTATATCGTGATAAAATGGATCTTACATCGCGAAATGCATCAACTCAGGCGAGCACCTTGATTAAAAACATGAAAAGATTTGGAAAATATCTGACAACGAGGTGGTGGTGCACTTGCTTTGCAAATCCTGCAATCAACCGAAATCTGCACGACGGTTTATGAACCGGATTTCGATTTCGGTGGGCGATCAGGACGATCTGATCTATAATCAAGATCTATATTGTAATAAAACGGGTCTTACATCGAAAAATGATTCAAATCACGTAAGCACCTTGATTAAAAACATGAAAAGATTTGGAAACTATCTGTTGACGAGTTGGCGGTGCACATGCTTTGTAAATCCTGCAATCGATCAAAATCTGCACTACAGTTTACGGACCGGATTTTGATTGGACTATGCATAGACTCGTTAGTCCAGCAAAAATGTAACTCCATAATACCAGCCTAGTTCGGCAAGGGTGGAAACTGGACTTTTATAGTCAGTTAACTCTATTGCCTCGGGAAGATGCCACAAACCTGAACACTTTTGTAACTGTTGACAAGACTGTAGAGCGACATCTAGTCTCTGAAATGAACATATTTTACCGAAAAAACAGTTAAATTATAGTTTTAAAATACAATGAAAAGGAGCCCAGAGACTTTCTTCATTTTCAGCCTACTGCATTTATCTAGACTTGCCAAACATTATAGACTTGCATGGGCTGTATGGGATATATTTGTGTCAGGGTCTGTATGACAGACTAACAAAAACTGTAAAACAAGAACAATCATTGTGACATTTGAGTGTCACATAATACATAACATGAATCAGGATGTTATATTTTCACCCCTGATCACAGTGGACGTTTGTAATATAAGCCCACACTGTTCCGAATGGTTTCAGAAAAGTTGATGTAAAAATAAATGTTTAGTCATATTAGTTCCCAAATTTGATAACCTTTGTGACACATTTTGGAAATTGAGAATGGAAGCAAATAATTTACAGTGTGAGTCCTGTGGTATGCAATAAAACATGGCTGATGAATCATTAGATGAATTGCATGTTACATATCACCAACCCATCTGTTCTGGTAAGATATACACCCCATGGTGTCAAGTGTTAGTTTTGTTCAGTCTAACATTGAAATCCCCATGTGTTAGACTTAAGAAACCACGGACACCTGAGCATGTGCAAATATATGACATGTGGCAAAGTGTTGGAAATCCTGTAAACAGAGCCATGTCACTAGCCTGGGACTCCCTCAATGTAACGCTGAGAGTCCCCGGACCTCAAAACTAGGTAGACCCAGGTAAATCATGATACTCTATGTTGTCTTTACAGAGAGATCTGGCCGCACTAAAGACACCACAATGGCAAGTATCCAATATCCATGTTCTTAATTTCATTATTCAAAATATATTCAGGGATCTGTACAATAGATATGTAAGCCAACATTTGCTGCAGCCAGTGTTGTAAGACAATGATGTTGAGTCGATGTTGATGCTGCAGCCAGTGTTGTCAGATGAGGATGTTGAGTCAATGTTGATGCTGCAGCCAGTGTTGTCAGATGTTGATATTGAGTCGATGTTGATGCTGCAGCCTATGTTGTCAGACAATGATGTTGATGCTGCAGCCAGTGTTGTCAGGTGATGATGTTTATGCTGCAGCCAGTGTTGTCCGACGATGATGTTGATGCTGCAGCCAGTGTTGTCAGACAATGATGTTGATTCGATGTTGATGCTGCAGTCAGTGTTGTCAGTCAATGATGCAATCTCATTAAAATCAGATCTTAGTTCTCACAGCAGACCAACCTTGCGCGAACTTGGACCGACTAATGGAATGACCAATCAGAAGGCAGCTTTCTCATGCTTTACGGCACTTATTTCAAATTGGCGACTACGCTTCGAAATATATTTTGAACAATTCTCGATTGCAAATTTAAAACCTGAACAAAAGAACATTCTGGAATTAATAGATGGGCTAGATTGTATGGATTCAGTCGTTAAACCCGTAACTATTGTTCCAATTTGCATGATTTGAAATCACATTCCGACTGTCACTTTCATAATCTGGTAAGCGACGCTCTGATTGGTTGGATGAAAGGTCGTTCTGACGTGACCCCTAATGGGATGTCTTCAGATCTTTGTTTAGCGGTAGCGAGAACTAAGGTCTGATTTTAATGAGATTGGTCAATGATGTTGACCCGTGAAGATTCCGGGGTAGAATAGGTCATCAGCAACCCATACTTGCCGTAAAAGGCAACTATGCTTGTCGTAAAAGGCAACTAACGGGATCGGGTTGTCAGACTCGCTGACCTGGTCGATGCATGTCATCGATCCCAATTGTGCAGATCGATGCTCATGATGTCAATCACTGGATTGTCTGGTCCAGACTTGATTACTTTACAGACCACTGTCGTATAGCAGGAATATTGCTGAGTGCGGTGTTAAACGACAAACAAGAGAAACAAGAGATGTTGATGTTGCAGCCAGTGTTGTCAGTCAATGATGTTGAGTCAATGTTGATGTTGCAGGCAACAGGAACCGATCAGGTTGCTGGGATGGGGATGGTAGGCCTAGCAGGCGTCATCTTCTCCTACTATACGCTGTGGGTCATCGTGCTGGTAAGTGTTACTGCATCACTAAGGAGTCTAGCTCACCTGCTTCAGCGACAGTTTGGCAACACCTACTCATGAGTCATAGAATGGACTATTTTGTAGACGTTAAATACACCAGACTAGGGCTGGGATGATACACCAACTGTGCGATCTAATACGTATCACGATACCTTGCTCACGATCTGATACGTATCACGATACCTTGCTCACGATCTGATACGTATCACGATACCTTGCTCACGATCTGATACGTATCACGATACCTTGCTCACGATCTGATATGTATCGCGATACTTGCATGTGCACTTTTCTGTGGTGCATAAGCCATCTTTTTCATAGGCAGGATTGCCAAATACCTGGCCCACTAATGATTTACAGTTGGCAGTATCAGGTATGGCGCAATGGATGAAAATATTTATGTTTTCACTACTCATTTTCACTAGTAATAAGTGTTTGGTGTAACACTTATTCAAGACAACATTTATGGTAAGAATCGAAACCTTTTACTTAGTGTGTGACTGTGATCGATACTTGTATCGAGAAGAAAAAAATTGCGAATTGATGCCTCCATGTATCGTCCCACCACTACACCAGACATAGGACAGTTGCTGAATACTTTTTCTTGTTTTTTATTCTTTTTTTTATAGCGCTCGCCATCAGTCAGATAAGTTCCTATACACATTACACATTTAAAATATTCAAGCTGCACTTTCAAGTTCATGACAACATATTTGATGACGTCATATATCCTGAGTGATAGTTCAATGTTGGATGGTGTAACTCCTCACCTGTGTTGCTTTTCACCCCATTCCTATTGACAGTTAATTTCTTCCTGCTGTTTCAGCCATTTGTAGAACCAGATCAGTGGATTCATCAGTTTTTCCCAGACAGAATCTATGCCATCGCTGTTCCCCTCATTGCCGGAGTCCTAGCTTTAGCTTTAATTGGTAAGTAGAGCTGTTTCTCCGCCCATCCCAGAGACAATTGTAGAGTAGCCAATGGGATTAAAGCATTTTCTCATCATGCCAAAGGGCGGAGTTTGATTCCCCACATTGGTACAATGTGCTAAGACCATTTCTGGTGTCTGTCACCATGATATTGCTGGAATATTGCCCACTCACAACTCCTTTGGTCCCACCAGCATAAGTAAGTGAGTGAGTTGGGTTTAACACCACTTTTAACAGTATTCCAGTTATATCGTGGCGTGTCAGCTTAATGTGGGAGGAAAGCCCGAAGTGATGCAGGTCTCAGGATTTACCTCTTCTGTGAAACCCACGAGCACGGGTATGGTGCTGACAAAGCTAGAAACATAATCAGGGCAAACCGGGATTCAAACCCACAATCATAGGTTTCTGGCGTGCCCAAGGGACCCAACTCTGCACAGCGAATCGCGGGGCCTTAGACGACTGGGCCATCCGTGCCCCACCCCACCAGCATAAGGATCTCTAGCTCACATACTTTGAGTAGGCAGCACTTTTGATGGACGAATATTGTTTTATGCCAGTCTCTACCCCAACTCCCCATCCACCCCCCCCACACACACAGAAGATTTTTATATTTTGGACCCCTTCCCTTTTAGAAATGCTGGATCAACACTTGGTTATGTATACTCCCTAGGGAGCTGAGGACCTGTGAAAATCTGGGTTAGAATTTAGCAACTTGGGCAAACCATGCTTATTGTAAGAGGTGATAACATATTCTTGGACTTGTGTGCTACATGCCTTTGCTGGTCTTCAGCAACCCATGCTTGCCGTAAAAGGCGACTATGCTTGTCGTAAGAGGCGACTAACGGGATCGGGTAGTCAGGCTTGCTGACTTGGTTGATGCATGTCATCGTATCTCAATTGCGTGGATTCATGCTCATGATATCAATCCCTGGATTTTCTGATCCAGACTCGATTATTTACAGACCGCCGTCATACAGCTGGAATATTGCTGAGTGTGGCGTTAAACAATAAACAAAACAAAAAACGTCAGCACAAATACCTTTGTCATCCTGGTTTCTGTCACTTGCAGGTTTATTTATGGTGGTTGTCACGATACGGAAGAATGCCAAGAAGGTCAAGAAGAGCTGATTCTGGAAGACTATTTTGTAATACAAGTTCTTGTTATACCACAGTTCTCGTTGTTATCTTTCTTTGGATCCACCCCGTGAGGATTCTGGGTTGTCATGGGTCCCCAGCAACATATGCTGGTCATAAGGGTCCAAAGCCACGTTTAACAGTATTCCAGTTACAGCATGGCGTGTCAGCTTAATGTGGGAGGAAAGCCTGAAGTGATGCAGGTCTCAGATGTTTACCCACGAGCACGGGTATGGTGCTGACAAAGCTAGAAACATAATCAGGGCAAACTGGGATTCAAACCCACAATCACAGGTTTCTAGTGTGCCCAAGGGATGCAATTCTGCGCAACGAAATTGCACCATCTTATACAACTCAACCAGCCGTGCCCCTGCTCGTCGTCTTGGGCAACCAAATGAACTGGGTGGTGAGACTCTGTGACTTGATTGCGTTATCGTACCCAGATGGTGTGGATCGCTGCTTACAATATCAATCACTGGATTGTCTGGTCCAGGCTTGATTATTTGCAGGCCTTCACCATATAGCTGGAATATTGCTGAGCGAGACGTTAAACAAACCACATCTTTGGATCCATGTTATTTCAACAAACCATCCTCAATATCCCATCTTCCCGAGGCAAGACAGTTAACTGACTTTAAAAGTCCAGTTTCCACCCTTGCCGAACTAGGCTGGAATTACTGGGCTCGATCGTAGCGCCACCAGTGGCTATTACCAGCTATGTCCCTTCTAAGCCTCTCCTATGGACAAATCAGATTCCACCTTTCGTATCACTTGCGTTTGCTTCACACAAAATGGTGGCGCCCAGTCAGGACGATCTGATCAATAATCAAGATCTATAGTGTGATAAAACGGATCTTACATCGCGAAATGCATCAACTCACGCGAGCACCTTGATTAAAAACATGAAAAGATTTGGAAAATATCTGACGAGATGGTGGTGCACTTGCTTTGCAAATCCTGCAATCGACCGAAATCTGCACGACGGTTTACGAACTGGATTTCGATTTCGGTGGGCGATTTTGATTGGACTATGCATAGACTCGTTAGTCCAGCCAAAATGTAACTCCATAATACCAGCCTAGTTCGGCAAGGGTGGAAAATGGACTTTTATAGTTGGTTAACTCTCTTGCCTCGGGAAGATGCAATATCCCGACCATCCATCATTTAAGATGGGGTGATGGGAGAAGGATGATTCACTGATACATCGCATGATCATGATACATGATGAAGATTATTTAAAAACCTGTTAAAACTTTATCCCAGAAGCTCATGAAACAACATAATTTTCTATCTATGTAACATTTAGAGAAAACAAGAAAATATTGGAATTGAGAATGTTTTTTTAATTTTTTCGACCTTCCAACGAATCTATGCATATTCCAATCAAAATCATGTAACAAACTAAGACATCCGGTTTGTAAACAACATGGAATTCAACATGCAGATTTCGGTTGACTGAAGGATTTGCAAAGCATGTGTACCGCCAACTGGGCGTTGACAGTTATTTTGTAATTCTTTTCATGTTTTTAAGGTGCTCAAGTGCTTTGATGCACTTCACATTTATTACAGTAGAGATGTTGATTATCAATCAGATCGTCGTGACTGGGTGCCAGAAATTCCAGTCTAGTTTGGCAAGGGTGGAGACTGGACTTTTAGAGTCCTTTAACTCCCTTGCCTCAGAAAGATGGTCTTTCATCTTTTATCTTCAGCTCTTGTCATTTATTCTGATATACACTGCATCATAATGTGACCTAGGGCATCATCTCAGCCCTAGTTACTACAGGGCAGTATCTGAATCGAGAGGTCTACATGCCTATCACCAGGGGGGCCTAGTTGTCTACGGGCTACCATTCAGTGTGCAGAGTTGCCTCCCTTGGTAGCCAGGATGTACTGCTCAAAACAGATAGATAGAGGTCCTTTTTTGGCTTTCTTCCTACACTAACACCACAGTCAGCAATATTCACTGTTTATCATGGCACCCTGTAAGTGTTCAAGCCTGGACCAGATCAGTTTTTGATACCAATAGCAAAATCCCACACCATCAGAAATGAATGACATGCAATCAACTAAGCCACCGAGCCTAACCACTTCATCCAGTTAGTCATTTTAAATAGCATAGGATACTGGGCACCCGGAATCTCAACAGGGGCCTCCAACACTAAGCTCACAGTTCAGCCAATGAATGAAAGGAGAGCAGATCGCCATCAGGGGACATTTTCTTTGGCTATAGTTCTTTTTAATTACCTGGCTAGCTTATGTATATTTAATATTTTTTAACTAGGTCTGCTATTTGATTCATCTTGTTCACTGCTCCCAAAGTTTCTCCAAGCCAGTGTTCATTGCAAAACATCCCACTTGCTCCTTTTTCAACCCCTTTTCAAGACAACACTCAATTTCTTAATCCCCTTTGCACAACACTCCATTTTTAACCCCTTTTAAAGACAACACTCTTTTTTTGTAACCCTTTTTCAAGATATTACTCCTTTTTTCAACCCCTTTTCAAGACATTACTCCATTTTTTAAACCCCTTCACAAGACTCTCCATTTTAAACCCCTTTTCAAGACAAAACTCCATTTTAAACCCCTTTTCAAGCAACACTCCATTTTCAAACGCCTTTTCAAGACAACACTTCATTTTCAAACGCCTTTTCAAGACAACACTACATTTTCAAATGCTTTTTCAAGACAACACTTCATTTTCAAACGCCTTTTCAAGATTTTGGAACACAAACACAAACTCCTATCTATGTACAGTTGTTTATTTACAAGGAAATGTACAGTCAGGCGTGTTTCATCATCTTGGTGGGTGACGGGAGGGAGACGAGGTTAGAGATCTGCTGCATGGAGTTCTGGGTGTTCAGTCCCTTGAAGGATTCCTTGTCTGAAACAATCACATTTGCTACAGAAGGTTATTTACACTAACATTTAATATAATCCTTTAAAACGACTTTATCTTAACTAAATTTCATAATTTCCTGTGATCATAAATATATTTCAAGGCAAATAATGACCCTTGTGTATTTACAGATGAGAGTTTCTCAACCCAAGTACTTCCTGAAGCATTAACCCTTTCATATCAAAATAAATATCATATAAATAATAACAAACTTGTTATCCAGTTTAAAAGATAAGAAATAAACTGCAAGTGTTTCCTTGACACCTGATTGGCTAACAAAGCAATTATTTTTGCATTTATGTTTCCATAAACCAACACAAAAAAGGCCATGCTCACTAGCGGATTACTGTTTCCTTATTGGCTAATAATAGAGTGGGAGGGGCTTAGCTTGAATTATTGGGCTGATCGATGTCACCTCTTCTGTATATTATGATTACAATAGCAGTCTGTGAAGTTACTATTGTTGAGTTATTTAATATAAGACTTCAAAATTATTTTGGGATTATGGAGGTGTAGACGTAAAAACCAGTGTTTCAAAAATATTGAAGCCAATTGTTAAAATACTTACACAAGAGTTGTGTTTGCTTTTCCTCCACACAGTCGGCCATCTTGTTGGCTCTCTCAAGCAGGTGAACATTCTTACAGTAGGTCTCCATCTGAAACACAACTGGTCATGATTAATTACTGTGCATAAGTCGGTATCAACAATAATTAGTTGAGAAACATATTATTTAATATTTATAGGTTATGTCCATCTCAGTGGTTAAACAGGCTTTCAGTCCGCTGCCAACTCCCACAGAGATTCCAGGTTCAAATCGGTCTCCAGCAACCTATCTGTGCCCAAGGGGGCCACTGAATGGATCTGGAAATTATACAGCCTTCACCAGACAATCTGTGATAAATATAACAGGCACAGTCTCACACAGTCAACAAAGTCACAAAGCTTGAGAACCCAGTCTATTTTCCATTTTCCTTTCTTGAAACAACAAGCATTGGCTATTGCTGAAATAACTGCCCTCTCCCCCACGGGGGAACCAACATATAGGGTTATTATAACCCAGACTCTGCTTTAGACTCCACACCACTCTGGGACAACATATAGAGTAGAGGAGACCTATTATAACCCAGACTCCTGAACTCGGGGACAACATATAGAGTAGAGAAGACCTATTATAACCCAGACTCCTGAACTCAGGGACAACATATAGAGTAGAGGAGACTATTATAACCCAGACTCCTGAACTCGGGGACAACATATGGTGTAGAGGAGACCTATTATAACCAAGACTCCTGAACTCTGGGACAACATATGGTGTAGAGGAGACCTATTATAACCCAGACTCCTGAACTCGGGGACAACATATAGTGTAGAGGAGACCTATTATAACCCAGACTCCTGAACTCGGGGACAACATATGGTATAGAGGAGACCTATTATAACCCAGACTCCTGAACTCGGGGACAACATATAGTGTAGAGGAGACCTATTATAACCCAGACTCCTGAACTCGGGGACAACATATAGTGTAGAAGAGACCTATTATAACCCAGACTCCTGAACTCGGGGACAACATATGGTATAGAGGAGACCTATTATAACCCAGACTCCTGAACTCGGGGACAACATATGGTATAGAGGAGACCTATTATAACCCAGACTCCTGAACTCGGGGACAACATATGGTATAGAGGAGACCTATTATAACCCAGACTCCTGAACTCGGGGACAACATATAGAGTAGAGACCTATTATAACCCAGACTCCTGAATTCGGGGACAACATATGGTATAGAGGAGACCTATTATAACCCAGACTCCTGAACTCGGGGACAACATATGGTATAGAGGAGACCTATTATAACCCAGACTCCTGAACTCGGGGACAACATATAGAGTAGAGGAGACCTATTATAACCCAGACTCCTGAACTCGGGGACAACATATGGTATAGAGGAGACCTATTATAACCCAGACTCCTGAACTCGGGGACAACATATAGAGTAAAGGAGACCTATTATAACCCAGACTCCTGAACTCGGGGACAACATATGGTATAAAGGAGACCTATTATAACCCAGACTCCTGAACTCGGGGACAACATATAGAGTAGAGGAGACCTATTATAACCCAGACTCCTGAACTCGGGGACAACATATAGTATAGAGGAGACCTATTATAACCCAGACTCCTGAACTCGGGGACAACATATGGTATAGAGGAGACCTATTATAACCCAGACTCCTGAAATCGGGGACAACATATGGTATAGAGGAGACCTATTATAACCCAGACTCCTGAACTCGGGGACAACATATAGTGTAGAGGAGACCTATTATAACCCAGACTCCTGAACTCGGGGACAACATATGGTATAGAGGAGACCTATTATAACCCAGACTCCTGAACTCGGAGACAACAGACAGTGCAGAGGAGACCTATCATAATCTGGACACATATGGGAACAACACACTGGGTTGAGGGTACGTATCCTCACCCAGACTCCCCACAGGGGGACAACAACATATAGGGTGGAGGGGATCTGTTCTCACCTGAAGGGCACACTTGTTGAGGTTTGTCTGTGTGGACTGGATCAGGTCCTGGTAGTCCGGACTCGGCTTCATGTAGCTGCCCATCGCTCGTGTCTTCACATCCTCAGACAGTGTGGCAGCCTTCAGCTCAAGGTTTTCATTTTTCCTTGCAAACAACAGAAACGACAAACATTAAATACAACAAAAATACCCCCACCCCCTACCCTTTTCCAGGTAGGTATACATACTTGTCTGAGGCCTCCTTGTCCACCTTCAACTCCCCCAGCAGAGTGTCCCTCCCCTCCCCAGGTAGGTGTACATACTTGTCTGAGGCCTCCTTGTCCACCTTCAACTCCCCCCAGCACAGCGTCCCTCCCCTCCCCAGGTAGGTATACATACTTGTCTGAGGCCTCCTTGTCCACCTTCAACTCCCCCAGCAGAGTGTCCCTCCCCTCCCCAGGTAGGTGTACATACTTGTCTGAGGCCTCCTTGTCCACCTTCAACTCCCCCAGCACAGCGTCCCTCCCCTCCCCAGGTAGGTATACATACTTGTCTGAGGCCTCCTTGTCCACCTTCAACTCCCCCAGCAGAGTGTCCCTCCCCTCCCCAGGTAGGTGTACATACTTGTCTGAGGCCTCCTTGTCCACCTTCAACTCCCCCAGCAGAGTGTCCCTCCCCCTCCCCAGGTAGGTGTACATACTTGTCTGAGGCCTCCTTGTCCACCTTCAACTCCCCCAGCACAGCGTCCCTGCCCCTCCCCAGGTAGGTGTACATACTTGTCTGAGGCCTCCTTGTCCACCTTCAACTCCCCCAGCAGAGTGTCCCTCCCCCTCCCCAGGTAGGTATACATACTTGTCTGAGGCCTCCTTGTCCACCTTCAACTCCCCCAGCAGATCGTCCCTCCCCTCCCCAGGTAGGTATACATACTTGTCTGAGGCCTCCTTGTCCACCTTCAACTCCCCCAGCAGAGCGTCCCTCCCCCTCCCCAGGTAGGTATACATACTTGTCTGAGGCCTCCTTGTCCACCTTCAACTCCCCCAGCACAGCGTCCCTCCCCCTCCCCAGGTAGGTATACATACTTGTCTGAGGCCTTCTTGTCCACCTTCAACACCCCCAGCACAGCGTCCCTCCCCTCCCCAGGTAGGTGTACATACTTGTCTGAGGCCTCCTTGTCCACCTTCAACTCCCCCAGCAGAGCGTCCCTGCCCCTCCCCAGGTAGGTGTACATACTTGTCTGAGGCCTCCTTGTCCACCTTCAACTCCCCCAGCAGAGTGTCCCTCCCCCTCCCCAGGTAGGTATACATACTTGTCTGAGGCCTCCTTGTCCACCTTCAACTCCCCCAGCAGAGCGTCCCACCTCACACTCTCCTCCTCCAGCCTGTAGCAGAGACCAGTGTTACACAGGACAAACACTGATGGGCTTCACTATGTATCTGATCTTAAAACATTTGCACATGTACAAACAAGATGACAAAAATAATATGACCTGACATCTTTGTACAATTGTAAATCAATAATCTTGAATTTCTAACTAGCCTTCCTAAATTTACAAACTTTCACAAAAGGCTAATTACTTTGGCACCAACAACATACCCTGCACTCTTTTGAACTTGTTACCAGCAAAACTCAAATACAATTTACAAATATTCTTGAATAGCAAAAGGCTTTTGTTCAGTATTTGCCTGATGTATGTATATAGTTTCAGAAAGAAATATTGAACAGTTTAAGAGTTATTTTCCAGAAACTGGCAGACACAGACAGAGCCATGTGTCTTTATCCCTGCAAAAAACAACAACAAAAAAAGAGTAGTTTTGGTAATGAGATAACTCCATTGATATCTCTATCACCAGTAGAAGACGTGTCAGCATGATGGAAATATTTCAAAATATTTCTCTCTTTTCTATATTTATAAATCTTTCTATTGTGGGTGCAAACTTTGACACTGATCAATCAATGTAGCAGATGTATAGTAGAGAGAATGTGTTCAAACGTGCATGTGCTACAATTTGATCTAGATATATCGCTGAGTACCCTATTTTCGAACAGCCATATTGAAAGTGATTTTGTTTCATTATAATGAGAGGTGCCCATGTTCGGCCTGTCAACATTGGGTTCATGTGAAGTACTGTGCACCACCAGTCAGAACAGTCCCTCGTCATTCAGAATATTGGTGCCCGTGCCATGATGAAAAGGAAGAGTGGAATAGTGTGAACATTATCATTTGACAAATATTCATATTTTGTTACTAGGTTTCAAACTTTCAATAACTGTTTGAGTTTTAATGTCAACGTGCAAGAAATATGTTGAGAACTGTGCGCTAAAACAGTCTGTTCATTCATCGAAAGTACCAAACCAATAAGGTGTTCGAAAACAGCGTTAGAAATTGGCACTAGTCCTGTAGTCCTTACCAAACTGCCCAATAGTAAAGGTATCCTAAGGACTAGTAGAAATTGGTCCATTTTAAGGGTTTTGCTATATGTTTTCATTATAAGGACTAGTGGACAAAAACTGTTAGTTTCTGACCCTGGAAAATAGGTGACGTCACTCAAGTGCAGCGGAAGTTTACAGACCATGCAAATGAGGTCACGCCTTTTATCAAGGATTGTTTTTCTTCGGAATGGAGCTGAATTATATTGTTGAGCACATCATCTCCTGGTGTGAGGCAGAATTTGAATATTGATTCGCTCATCCCTCGAAATATCAACAATGCCATCTTAACTGTTCGAAAATAGGGTTCGTCAGGATACATAAGCATTTGTAGGACAGCTTGTGGTTACACATAATGCAGTTTAACACTCACCTGTTCATATTATGTTCAATTGCTGCTATATTGGCATTGAAATCTTCATTCAGTGGGTTAGGAAGTTGTCTGCAAATTAAATGACACAAAATGATACATAGAGCAAAGTTCTGTTGAATTCCTGCGTGGATCTATATCATGTGCACCATTTGTCCTGCACACAAGGCAACTGTGCATTTCATGTAGTGTGTGTTGTAGAAATGCAATAAAATTCCTGATTGTATCACTGGTGATACCAGTCATTAAGTCTGCCATTCAAGTGAGTGAGTGGCTCTAACGCCGCTTTTAACATTATTCCAGTTACATTATTGCGTGTCAGCTTAATGTGGGAGGAAAGCCCAAAGTGATGCAGGTCTCAGAGGTTTACCACTTTGGTGAAATCCACAAGCATGAGAATGTTGCTGACAAACCGACAATCACACGTTTCTGGCGGGACAAAGGGAAGCAACTCTGCATTTGAAATTTCGGCGCCTTAGACGATTGGGACACCTTGCCCCCGTGTCATTGTAAATAATTTACACAATAATATCAATTAGTCATTGACAAAATATTGCCAGGAAGTTATCTCTGGAAATAAACAGTGTTAGGCATGGATTCAGACACCACCTGTAGTAAACTGTGTCCTCATTCAAGAAACTACTTGACTGTTTGAACTAAGACAAACCCATTGATGATACATCCCCATTACTGTTAAACAAGCCTCAGAAAAAGCAGCGTCAATAAGAGACTTGTATTTAATACAGAATGTCTTCACATCCTAAATAGGTAGCAACTCACTGCTTCCTGGAGCAGGCATGCTCAAACAGATCCTCGTCCTGGAGGCGGGAGATCACCTCACTCCCTCCTTCCTCGGCTGCAACCAGAGACAGGCAGTGAGTGAATCAGTGAAATAGGGCATGAGTGTGGGAGGGTAGGTGAGTAAGTGGGAGGGTAGGTGAGTAAGTGGGAGGAAAGGAGGGTGGGTGGGTGCTTGGGTGAGTGGTTGAGTGAGTTAGAGGGAGGATGATTGGGTGAGTGAGAGGGTGAGTGAGTGAGAAGGTGAGTGAGTGGGAGGGTGGGTGAGTGAGAGGGTGAGTGAGTGGGAGAGTAGGAGGGTGGGTGAGTGAGTTGGATGGAGGGTGAGTGAGTGGGAGGGTAGGAGGGTGGGTGAGTGAGTTGGAGGGAGGGTGAGTGAGTGGGAGGGTGGGTGGGTGAGAGAGTGAGTGGGAGTGTGGTTGGGTGAGTGAGTGGGAGTGTGGGTGGGTGAGTGAGAGGGTGAGTGAGTGGGAGGGTGGGTGGGTAGGTGAGTGAGTGAGTGAGTGGGAGGTTGGGTGGGTGAGTGAGAGAGGGTGAGTGAGTGGGAGGGTGGGTTTGGTGAGTGAGTGAGAGGGTGGGTGAGAGAGTGGGAGAGTAGGAGGGTGAGTGAGTGGGAGGGTGAGTGAGTTGGAGGGTGGGTGAGTGAGTGAGAGAGTAGGAGGGTGGATGAGTGAGTGGGAGGGAGGGTGAGTGAGTTGGAGGGAAGGTGAGTGAGTGAGTTGGAGGGGGATGAGTGAGTTAGTGGGAGAGTAAAAGGGTGAGTGAGTGAGTGGGAGGGTGAGCAAGTGGGAGGGTAGGTGAGTGAGAGAGTATGTGAGTAAAAGGGTTGCTGAGTGGAAGGGTGAGTGAGTGAGTTGTTTAGTGAGTTGGAGGGAGGGTGAGGGGGAGTAGGGTGAGTGAGAGGCAGGGTGAGTGGGTGGGTCAGTGGGAGGGTGAGTGAGTGAGTTGGAGGGAGGCTGAGTGAGTTAGAGGGAGGGGGAGTGAGTTGAATGGTGGGTGAGTGAGTGGTTGTGTGTGTTATAGGGAGGGAGAGTGGGTGAGTGAGTGGGAGAGTTAGAGGGAGGGGGAGTGAGTGGGATGGTGGGTGAGTGAGTGGTTGTGTGAGTTATAGGGAGGGAGAGTGGGTGAGTGAGTGGGAGAGTTAGAGGGAGGGGGAGTGAGTGGGATGGTGGGTGAGTGAGTGGTTGTGTGAGTTATAGGGAGGGAGAGTGGGTGAGTGAGTGGGAGAGTTAGAGGGAGGGGGCGTGAGTGGGATGGTGGGTGAGTGAGTGGTTGTGTGAGTTATAGGTAGGGAGAATGGGTGAGTGGGAGGATGGGCAATCGAGAGGGTTGGCTAGCAGTTTCAACCAGTATTTCAGGGTTTTCACTGCATGTCAACTGTATGTTAGGATATTTATGGAGGGATATTTACCATGTGAAGCACATTATCACAGGGATATGTAGAAAGACAAGGGATCATAACTGAGGAAAATCAAGGATCCTAAGCAATCAGAGATTCGCTTAGGGATGCAACTCTACTGGCCGAACAATAATCTATTAAGCCAGTGAGTGAGTTGCTTGGTGAAGGGTAAACGAAGGGGAGGATGAAGGGGTAAACATTGCTGAACACTACAACGGAAATTCTGTCGCCAGTCTCTATCACTTCATCTGGTTTTCAGGCATATTTATCTCTTTCATTATAAAAACTGGCAGAATACTCATCTTCTGCAATCCATGTGGTCTTCTAAGGTAAGTACAGCGACACCAAGACAGTTATATACTTTGTTTGTTTTGTTTGTTTGTTGTTTAACGCCGCCCTCAGCATTATTCCAGCTATGACTGCGGTCTGTAAATAATCGAGTCTGGACCAGACAATCCAGTGATTGACATCATGAACATCGATCAGCGCAGTTGAGATCGATGACATGCATCAACCAAGTTAGCAGGCCTGACCTCCCGATCCCGTTAGTCGCCTCTTACAACAAGCATAGTCGCCTCTTTCGACAAGCATAGTCGCCTTTTACGGCAAGCATAGTCGCCTTTTACGGCAAGCATGGGTTGCTGAAGACCTATAGTTATATACCAGTACTGTTCAGACATACTGTTCAGACATTCAATATATATGTCATTCTATAGCAATCCTTCAAACATGGTAACTGGTTAAACACACAATTCGACTGGCAGAAGTACCATCCCAGATTAATGGTGATTCCGCTGTACTTTCTGGGAAATCAAGAAAGTTGTAAAAGAAGCACTATACAAACCGCTAACTCGGAACTTGTCAAACCAGTCTTCGCCTTTGAACTCTTTTGCTAAAGTATCGACTGTATACTGAAAATCATAAAACATGAATAACCATCCAAAGGAAACATTATATTGACAGAAACAATAGTAACCAGTTTTTACACCTTGGTTCTTCTGGACTAATTTTCCATTCTAAACCATTCAGTTTCCTGATATTTCTTCATAGAACTTCACAATGCCTAGTTTGATCAAGGCAACAAGACAAAGAGGTGACTATGCTTGTCGTAAGAGTCAACTAACAGGATCGGGGGGGAAAGGCTTGCTGACTTGGTTGATGCATGTCATCGTATCCCAACTGTGGATCGATGCTCATAATATCTATCACCGGATTGCCTGGACCAGACTTGATTATTTACAGACCGCCCGATGTAGATGGAATATGGTTGAGTGTGGCGTTAAACACCAAACAAACAACTAGACTCACTTCTACCACTTGCTTGTATGGGACATGACATGGGGAAGACAAGGAGAATGGCAGAGATGGTTCACAAAGGCTGATTTGTCAAACTTCAACCATCTTCCCGAGGCAAGAGAGTAAACTGACTATAATTAAACTGTTTTTTCTGTAAAATATGTTCATTTCAGAGACTAGATGTCGCTCTACAGTCTTGTCAACAGTTACAAGAGTGTTCAGGTTTGTGGCATCTTCCCGAGGCAATAGAGTTAACTGACTATAAAAGTCCAGTTTCCATCCTTGCCGAACTAGGCTGGTATTATGGAGTTACATTTTGGCTGGACTAACGAGTCTATGCATAGTCCAATCAAAATAGCGCACCGAAATCGAAATCCAGTTCGTAAACTGTCGTGCAGATTTCAGTCGATTGCAGGATTTGCAAAGCATGTGCACCGCCAACTCGTTGTCAGCAGATAATTTCCAAATCTTTTCATGTTTTTAATCAAGGTGCTCACATGATTTGATTCATCTTGCGAGGTAAGACCCGTTTTATCACGATATAGAACTTGATCATCGATCAGATCGTCCTGACTGGGCACCACCATTTTGTGTGAAGCAAACACAAGTGATACGAGAGGTGGAATCTGATTGGTCCATAGGAGAGGTTTAGAAGGGACATAACTAGTAATAGCCACTGGTGGCGCTACGATCGAGCCCAGGAATTCCAGTCTAGTTCGGCAAGGGTGGAAACTGGACTTTTAAAGTCAGTTAACTCTCTTGCCTCGGGAAGATGACTTCAACATGTTCAAGAGAAACATTTGTTTCCTGCACATTTTCACAATGTTTGTTCTGATTTTATCTCTGACGTCTCCAACATGTCTCAAGAAAATCAACTTCTGTCAAAGACTTTCATGAAAAATAATAATCGGAAAAATGCTTGAGAAACTGTCAATCCTGCCTGCTAAGGGACACAACTCTATTACCAAGGTTACCACTGGGCCCTCCCTTGGCATCCCCAGATGAAGATATGTATTAGCAGTTTACCTGAAGACAAAGTCGAGTTAGTTTTGCAAGTCGATCTTCTTTTGACAATTCCTTTTCCACCATCCTGTGTAAATCTGTAAGGAAAATTGACTGTGGTAAAGGATTCATTTGAATTGTCCATGTTTTGTCTGCACAGTGTAAATGTGAATTATTAACTAATGAATACTGTGTGCGTTTATAAGAGCTCCAGTTAACTTTTTGAGCGATTGAGTTTTCACTCGAAGGTTTCTATTTGAATTGAGTTATTACATTTTTCATTGGGTAACAAATATTTTTTCACTCATCTCTTTATCACTCTATTGGGTTTTTCCCAAAATGAGTAAGCATTTTGAGATTTCAACAACAAAAATGAAATAATGTTTTAGATGTATATAACGGTTCTAAATATAGGCTTGACTCGGAAAGGAAATTAATTCGTAATTGTGTTTCGGAAATTAGCTCCATTGTACGCATGCTGAAAAAGCAACATTGGGTATTTACGCGTGCTGTTTTCAAACAAGTGAGTTTTTCATTTAATCCATGTTTCTGTACACAAGTTAATTGAATGTAATTGGGTTTTGAATAGTTATTGGGGGATTTTATGCAAATACGCAGCTAATCTGTAGCTCTGATTTATTCTATCAGATAGTCTGTGGCACACTTCACATTAGAATACGTGTATAATAATATATTCGCAGGGTGTTCTACTTAGGACGGGTTCAACTGATGATGTGTTATGTTCCTGACCTTTAGCTGATGACACATCTCGAGAGAGCAGAGACACCCTATTAGCTGTGAAGCTAGATCTTCTCTTTGTCTTGGTCTTCTGTCCGCTCATGGCTGCACCTTCATCAATCAGTTAACATAAACAACTGTAAACAGATGCCATAGATTTAATGTTTGATTTTAAGCATGAAAGTCAAGAGTGTCAAGGGGTCATGAAGGTCATAACAGTGTTCCTGTTTACTGGTATTTATCAGTTTTTTTACCAGTAAAATTAGGTAATTCATGTGACTTCTAGTCTCTACGGACCAGCAAATAGAGTACCTTATAAAAATCTTTGTGGTTAAAACAAAACATGAGAAATATTCATATTTGTATCTTTTTCGAACGAGGTCAGCTTGTCTGTCACCATCAGGGTTTCCCTTTGTCTATTTTTAGTGCAAGGAAATAACATTTTGCCTTGCTTCTAGGTTAAATATATATTTGTAGTGACCTAGTCTCGAAATATTAAAAAAAAGAGAGAAAATTGTGACTGAACTTTGAGTGAATGACGTGTAGATCTAACTAAGTTACTGCAGAGATGACGTCATTGCATTGAACATGATGTTGAAGGAATTAAAACCAGGTAATTTTCATACATTTATTTATTTGTTGAAAGCTGGGACTGACAAAAATTTGGGGGGACTGGTAAATTCTGGAGTTTCAAAAGCCAGTGGGAACACTGCATAACCTTACAATATCATAGCAGTAAAACACAAGGACCACCCTAAATTACCACCACTGTAAATATCATTTAACAATGTTCTACAACTAATGATACTTTTATATGAACAATATAAAGTATATTTGTTTGAGACCAATAATCGTTGAGGACCAATTATCACCAACCCGTTACAGCTTGCACATGATCCAGATAATAAAAAAATGTAATTTGTGTAACTGAAGGGGTGCGCATGATTATGGCATGTGCTGATTAGTCAATGTCGATAACTGGTACAGTTGGTCGATGGGAAAGTACACTTTTCCACTGTTTTTATTCTCCTTTTATCTGAAATATCAACTCAAACATTTTCCACAGACAGAAATAATCACATTTGCTCATACTTTCACAAAAATCAAAGCTAGAGAAAAAGACAACTTTATACACTGAATATTTCAGGAATAGACAAAATGGTGATAAATGGTCGATAAAGTACTGCAGTAGAAGGGCTGTCTGTCATTTCTAAATATCTTTTAAACTTTACTATGAAGAATGCATCATTTCGTACGCAACATAAGAAAACCCATTCCTTCTGAAAATGATATTTGTTCTGACCAAATAATCTCCAACATTGAGCATTGCGTGCCTTGACATACAGTATAATGTAACACTAAAATAAACATGGACTCGTGCTCAGAGCTTTGTGTTGACAGTGCGCGAAAATTAGACCCTCCATCGAATATCGACCATGTTATAAAATCAGTGATGCTTATAATAGATCCATCGCTGGTATTTTTAAGGTTAGACGTGTAAGATGGAGGGCAATCTTCAGACAACTGCACGCAATGTTGTTTCATGCGATTTACCATATATTCTTCCGTGGAGATTTGTGTTTTCGCGTACTTTTCAAAAAGTCAAATCTGCCGCCATTTTGTGGTTCTCTTAAAATTGGGATGAGTTTGCAACCGAAATAGGATTTATCAGAGGGAAGTGAAGGATTCTTTGGTGTTTATGGTGTAGAACTGTCTAAAATAAGCTAGATTAATGTCAAGATCCTATTGAATGAAACATTTAATTATTATTGTCTCTATCAAATGAAGGACATTCCATGTTTGATGCCATAACTCTACACGAAAGTGTCAAATGTGAGAGGAAAGCCCGAAGTGATGCAGTCCTCGGACGTTTACCACTTTCGGGGATTGCCTAAAAGTCGGGCCAAGAAAAGTCGGGCCAAGAAAAGTCGGGCCGGGCCAGCGGGTAATACTAAAAATGGATTGCAGAATAATAAAACGAAACGTGCATATCTGGGCAGATCGCAAATGTCCACAAACGTATAGTTTTGCTCATTTAATTAAGTTTGAATCAAAATGCATCTTCAACAATGTAATAAACTGATAATTATGACTACATACCGTGAGTCCTCATGGAAAAGTCAATGTCTTGCATGTGAGTTTTCTTTGATGGGAAAGTTTCTCACCGACCTTAGCGTGTAGGGGTGTGGGTGCATCCCCTATTGGCCTACGTCCCATAAGGCCTACGTCCCATATGGCCTAAAGAAACAGAAATGACCTTTCCCATTTGGCCTACCACAGATTATTTTAAACAACCTACACCCCTATTGAAAAACGGTTTGGTTTGAGCTTAATTAGCTCTTGTTATTTCACACAGGCTTCTTCTGTGAAGTTGATTAATGTAACTATCTCACAATTAATTAACCCCTTTCTTATGTTCATAAGGATTGTCATCATAAGGACGTCCCTTTGCTATTGACACGAAGTAAACAAGCAGAGTTGATTTTTCTTTGAAAAGTACACAAAGCAAGAAAGCAAAGCACTCAGAAAGGTATGGGGGTAGATATCAATACCTGGAGAGTAAAGATAGGAACTTTTTCGAGACGAAAACCAAGCGTAAAGTTCAGAATTAACACATTGTGTGTGTCGTTGTCAGTGGCCACGCTTTTCGTGATAGCGATGTTGACTGTGACTGTGTGTGGGGACGTTGAGACGAACCCAGGTCCTGAAACCCCAGGAGGTAGTGTTAAATATACAGTAAAAGAACTGAGTGAAATAGTTAATTCACTTCAGGCTGAGATAAAGGGGCTAAAGGAGCAGGTAGCTAAACACCATAAGATAAGGATTGTATATAACTGGCTTCTTTGCCTATTGTGTATTTAGTCAATAGGATCAACTATTATAGGTTTTATTTCTTTGATCATATACCATTGTATACGGATAATGATAACGAAGTTAATTTAATGACAAAACATTGTTCTTAGTATTCATAGTATAAAGGTACTAACGGTTATCAGTGCATCATTCTTCATAATGGCAGGTATTCAGAGGGTTGAGTATGTTCAGTCAGAGAGGTGGTCGTCAAGTTTTGATTGACAATTTTAAATATAGAATTAACAGAAAGGGGTCAACTGCAACTTTCTTAGAAGCTGCACAATGTCCCCCCTTTGTTGGTATGAAGAATGGATTGTACAGACAACGCAGAAAAACAACACCAGCATTGTGTACCTCGATGGTCAGCTGTCCAGACTCCGAGACAGACACCAGCAGGGAGAAATATCTTCCTTGGCATCAGCAGATGCAGTAGGAATCCTGATTAAATTACATTAAAAAGATTCTGTTAGCTTGTATTTCTCTGTTGTTGGACTGGTTCATTTTAATCACCCTGGGGGAGACGGGTAGTTAGTGAGGGATCAACCAAGCGATTACTTACCGTAATTAAATCCCCTAAAAGCGTAGGGCAAATGGGAAGTAGGCCAATGGGGAGAACACCGGGGTGTGATGTCCAGGGCAGGAAACGACAGTGTTTTCACTACTCTTCTTTCATTAATTAACGTGTTGGGCATCCCTTATTAACCTTTACTAATTCATTATAAACCAACACAGGATGTTTTCTGGAAGTGGATATTCGCGAATGTCGTAGGGCTGACACGACACGTATTAAGAACTGTCCTAGCACTTCTAAAGTTCCTAACATTCTTTATATCAGAGACCATATATCGGTATATGGTCTCTATTTATATCTGAAGACTATTATATCTAATTATATACCACTTTATTGTCTCATATTGCGGTAGTTAAAGAAAACACAGTGCTCAAAGTGAAGCGCTTTTCCCTCGGGGCTGTCAAAATAAACTTTAAACACACAGATGTATCATCAAATGTGTTTACATCTGTAGCTTAGTATTTTATCTACCTATATACCACTTTATAATGTCACAGAACATCGTATTTAAAGAAAACAAGGTGCTCAAAGTGAAGCCCTTTTCCCTCTACATTCTCAATATAGTCTCTATCAAAAGTGTTTGGCGTGTGTTCGGTCCGACTTGGCCCGGGCTGTCAAAATGCACTTTAAACACATAGATGTATCAAATGTGTTTACATGGTTTGGTTTAAACATATTTTTATTCATTGAAATGAGTTGGGATTGGTGAACAAGCTTTACAGCTTATGTTAACACCGCTCCTATACAACATATATTACATATTGAAATGAAGGATGTGACCTCATCGATATAGACATTATTTAAATAATATGTTTGTACATATTACATCAAATACAAATACAAAATGAACATAAATAGAAAGTTACAGCTTGTGTGTGTCTAACAAGTCGTTTGTAACAAAAGTAATAGTCAATCATGATGTTACTGTCCGGTTAATTTAATTATTAATTTGTGAAGAGCTGAAACGTTTTCTTCATATACAGGTTTGTATTTATCCTTTCTCTTCAAATATGCCGTGTATTTGGTTTCATTGTTGGCAAGTTGTTTGATAAAAACGGCTAATTGTTCAGCAGATTTAAAATCCATTGCATTGATGTAAGTATTGTTTTCAGCATGTTTAGTATAATCAGCACCCCCACGAGTTATCAAAATGAAGTTGAGTCCGTAATATAGAAAGAATTTTTCTGTTACATAATCTTTACAAAATGCATTTTCAAAAGACAGATAAAATTTATACTTTGAGCTTAACATCTCTAAACATGCCGGGCCACTCCTTGGGCATGTATGGTTTCCACAAGCACCATATACGTCGACTTGGACGTACTTCTTCAACTCCTTAACATAGTCCATTCTTTTGCTTTCTGTTTTACAATGACTTACCATCCATGAAAGTTACAGCTTGTGTGTGTCTAACAAGTCGTTTGTAACAAAAGAAATAGTCAATCATGATGTTATTGTCCGGTTAATTTAATTATTAATTTGTGAAGAGCTGAAACGTTTTGTCTTGATGATGAAATCGTTGACGGATTCAACTAATGTCTGGTTTTCAGAGTGAGCAAGTTCATTGTTTCCGTTCATAATAGTATCCAGGTTATAACCGGTAGTGTAAAAGTGCATATTAAGTCTTATCTGAGTAAAGTTACAGCAAGTAAAAAAATAATGTATTCCACAGGAGCAACACGGACTGTCAATTAAATGTCTGTTATAATACTTATCGGCGTTTAGGTCGCTACAACCGAGTCTGAGGCGGCAGTGAACGATTTGACAGAATCGAGTGCCATAGCTAAGGTCAAAATAAGTCTTATTTTCGGTTTTCGTAATTAAGTTTTTAAATTCTCACAGACTACTTGACTCTTTGGACTTTGGAAGAGTATTCCATAAGTGTATTGTGTCTAGTAAAAAGCATTTGGCGTAAGAGGAAGTACGGCTATAAATTCCTTGTATTTCAGAACTGTTTCTTAAATTATAGTTTGTAGTTTCGGAGACAAAGTTTGGGATCAAATCACAAAGATAGCTTGGGAATTGTTATACAAAAAAGTTTTTGGGCAGTAGCTTCTATCTTGCAAGGATTGAGATTTAGTTTCATTATAGTTACATACAATAATGAAGTGTCAGCTGCAAAGAGACGAATGTTACTGTCAATAGCACATACAATATCGTTAATGTATATCAGAAAAAGAAGTGGTCCAAGGACTGAGCCCTGAGGTACTCCAGCTAGTACAGCTTTCTTGTCAGATTTGAACCCGTTAATTGCTACCCTTTGTACTCTATTTTCTAAATAACTTTCAAACCATTTTAATAGTTCGTCTTGGATACCATTAGTTTTCAGTTTATTAATAATTCCTCTATGCCATACCTTATCAAAGGCTTTACTTATATCGCAGAAGACTGCTCTAACTTCTTTTCCTTCGTCAAGAGCTTTAGCTATGAAATTATACAAATAGGTTAATTGATTTGATGTGGAATCTCCTGGCATAAATCCTGATTGTAGATTTGTTAGTAGGTCGTTAACTCTTAGGAAGTTGAATACATATTTAAATACACATTTCTCAAAGACTTTCGATAAACAAGATGTGAGTGCGACAGGACGGTAGTTTGAACATTCATGTACGCTGTCTTTTTTGTGGATAGGTGTTACTGATGCTTCTTTCCATAAACAGGGAAAAATTGACTGGCTAAGTGATAAATTAACAATTTCGTAAGTATGGATGTTAGACTATTTGCGGTATATCTAAGTACTTTATTTCCTATTCCGCCCGGACCGGTCGCTTTTGATGTATCCAATGACAATAGAATATCTCTGACGTCATCGCGGGTTAGAGTGATGTTAGATAATGTTGAGTTACAGGGAACCGGGGGGTCGGGCACATCGCGATTTTGATCTTCAATTGTCGACTGAGCGGTAAAGTAGTTATTTAAGACATTTGCGATTTCTTCGGGGCCATTGTAGACTGCATCACTGAAAGTAATTGTTGGGAATTGGCTGTTATCGTTGCGTGATTTTATAAACGCTTTAATCAGGCGCCACCACGTTTTGGTACAAGGCGAGTTATTAACAGTATCTTCAATTTTAGAGACGAATATTGGTTTAGCAGTTCTGATAGCGGAAGTAACTTTATTTCTTGCTGATCTGAAATTAGTCCACTAATAATTGTAGTCTACATTTATCAATGTGTGATGTGTGATGGTTACTTTTTTTGGCAATTTTATATAAACGATTACGTTTCCGAATCAAGGATTGTATATGATTCGTCATCCAAAGTG